TCCCACCAAAGAGGGAACGCTACTTTGGCGAGCCTTCAGAGAAGCCTGATTCCAGCAATTTTATTAATATTAAAAATTGAAATGAGACTCTTGCCAAAGCGAAGAAGAGACATTGAGGTTTAATGAGCGATTCAGCTGAAGCGGATGCAATGCAGTGATAGCTCACATGCAAGGCATACCAGTACAGAGATCAGAGGCATTTTTATAGGAAAATTCTGTTGATGTAGTCCCAAAGTTGTAAATTAATGGTAGACTTCTTCCCTCCTGGATCCATCCGAGTTTCCTGGCCAGTTGTTGATTTCTTGATTGGTGTTGACAAACACAAGGCTTGTGTTGACTTCCTTCTTAACATAAGGAAGGTTGCAAACATTTCTGTAATCACTGTCCCAGTTCTTATCAGAGTTTACTCTTCAGATCTCATCAGCAGGTTTTAATCACAAAGTAGCAAGCTGGTAATTAGTAATATTTTACTGGCATCTCCAAAATTATTAGCTCCATTCATACATCCTTCCATTCTTCCATTCATTCCCACACATAATTTTAAATTCACATTTATCAAATTTGCACATTGAATTCCTTATTACATATTCCCCCTCTTGCATATAGATTTCATTTTTAAATCGATATGCAACATATAGTAAAGTAACCTCTGATTGCCCTTTCAACAGCTGGCCGCTTCCTGGATTGATTTACCCAAAGGGAGGGGGAAGGAGTGATAGGTTTGGGTGTCAGGGCATGAATAAGGAAAATACGTTTATATATATACTACTTTATTCTCGATGTTGGGATTCATTTGCTGTGTTTCAATGATGGTGGCACTGAGGGAAAGGCCCTCTCCTGAAGATCTCCAACCCCAGGAAATGCAGGCACGTTTTAATATGCATGGGTCAGGGCTTAATTGGTTATTGCTTTTTGGTTATTGCTAAAATCAGGGCCTACAACTATTGGGCAAAACTGACTGCCATGGCAAATGATAGACTCCCAAAACTGTGCCTGTTAGAGCAGATAGAAAATCAACATCAGACCTCCTGGCTAGTTCACCTGACAAAATACATTAGGAGCTGTGGACTTCTGACTCGGTATCCGAATCTCTTAGAAGAGCTAGACCCAAAAATAGTTGCTCAATGAGTATTGGATATAGAAGGCCAAAAAGACATTGCTACCCTCAGTAAAGCTGGCTCATTGAAATGGCTAAGCTGCTTTAAGCATACCTTCCAAACAGCTCGATATCTAAAAACAGAAATGCCTAAACACCTTAGGAGGGTATTTACCAGAGCTCGTTTTGAGCAGCTGGATACAACGGTCAGGCACGGAAGGTTTAATCAAGTTCCATACAATGAACGATTTTGTATTTGTGGATCATCGGAGGTGGAGGATATCACACATGTACTGTTCAACTGTGAGCTGTATAAGAAAGAGAGAGACCATTGCCTTGGAGCATACATTATTCACAAAACACACTGGGATCCACATATTAAAACTTCATTTTTGTTGGGCGGCCAGAACCCAAGGATAACACACAAAACAGCCCTTTTTCTATTCAAAGCAACACAGCTGAGAAATGCACATTTAGAATCAATTGGGGTAAACTGTGGAGGTGACGTAGACATTTGACCTGAACGGGATCTTGCTAACAGTTTGTTTATTTTAACTTCTTTTATATCGAGGGTTGTATGTTGTATGTATGACTATGTGTTAAATGTGTTTGTGTTAAAAGTTTTTGATACGGCCAATAGGCCAATCAATAAAATGTATCTAAAGTTATTGCTTTTTGCTTTTCTTTTTTTTTTCAAGCCAGTGACTAGCCTTCCTTGCAGCCAGTCTGTGCCACTCTATAGGTTTGCAAGAGCTCAGCCTGCCCCTGACGCATATCCCTTTGCTCTTCCAGAAAAAGAAGGCTTTTGTCCTATTCTGTGGACAACTTACACTTACTGTAGAGATGAATGTAGAGATGACAGCCGATGCTCCGGTAGACAGAAGTGCTGCCAAGCTGGATGCAGGAAGGAATGCCACGAGCCACTGCCTGGTAAGAGAACCTGAGCCTGGATCACAACCAGGTGTTCCAGCAGCCGGGCAATGGGTGGCGCGGCCATTAAAGTAGCAGCGCGGTGAGCTTGCAGGGGCCATGTTCCCTCCATACTGGGTCAGCTGGCTGGAATGAGGGTGTGGCTGCAGGTTTCCTCCTGGGTAAGCCCAGGGCTGAGAAGGCAGAAAAGCTGGATGGCAACACTCAGGCCCCAGTAGCAGTGGTTGGGTTGATGATGTTTGAATGCTCTTTACAGAACCCCTCTCCCTACAGAGCCTAAGCCATTCACAGGAATGGGACCCAAACATTACAGACAAAGACAGGCATTCACAACAGAGCCCTTAGCTACTAACAAGAACTGCATTCAAACATCCTTTGTAATCTGCCTCGAGTCCCCCTCAGGGTAGAGAAAGGTGGGATATAAATAAGGTCAATCAATCAATCAAAGGTAGAAACTAAACTCTTGAGATATCCCCTGGGCGCCCCTTGCCGAGGGAATATCTCGGCTGCTTCAGAGGTCCCACAGGATCAGCAATCTGCAAGGGATGATTTCTCCCTCTTCTCCGCAAGAGCTTGTCTGGGGTTCTTCCTTCATCCCCCCATCTTGACAAGGTCTCCTGCTGTGTTTAAATACTTCAAAGAATATCGCATTTAGTATGCAGCCAATTTTCTGCTTTTCCAGAGACACAACGGAGCAATGGGTTCAAACTGCAGGAGAAACGTTTACCTAAGCTCAAGAAAGATTTTCCTGGCAGTAAAAGATGTTTGGCCATGACATTTGCTGCTGTCTTGGGGTCCAGTGGAATGTCCCTCTCTGGAGGGTTTTAAACAGGGGCTGTGTGGCCATCTGTCAGGAGAGATTGGGTGGTGTCTTCCTGCCTGACAGAAGAGCATTTGACTGGATGGTTCATGGAGTTTTTTTCCAACCCTAGGATTTCCTGATTCTGATACCCAGTTTTAGTTTATTGAAGACTCAAATTTTCAGGAAGAAGGGGAACATGTTGTTCCATTTATCCATGTGTGGGATAAATGGAACAATGTTACCCCATTCTACCCAAATTTGGTTGCATCTGTGAGATTCCTCCCCCAGGACTCAGATAGGGAGCTTTTGGTTGAGGAGATATGATCGCCATGTATAAATATGTGAGAGGAAGCCACAGGGAGGAGGAGGGAGCAAGCTTGTTTTCTGCTGCTCTGGAGAGAGACTAGAACAATGGCTTTCAAACTACAAGAAAGGAGATTCCACCTGAACATGAGGAAGAACTTCCTGACTGTGAGAGCGTTCAGCAGTGGAACTCTCTGCCCTGGAGTGTGGTGGAGGCTCCTTCTTTGGAAGCCTTTAAACAGAGGCTGGATGGCCATCTGTCAGGGGTGATTTGAATGCAATATTCCTGCTTCTTGGCAGAATGGGGTTGGACTGGATGGCCCAGGAGGTCTCTTCCAACTCTTTGATTCTATGATTCTATGATTCTTGTTTCTGACTCTCTGACATTCCTCACTTTCTTCTTCCAGAGAAACAGGGTACGTGCCCTGCACTAATTTTTCAGCATTGCACTTCTGAATGTTTCAGTGACAAGGACTGCCAGGGCCAGCGGAAGTGCTGCGGAGTTGGATGTGGGTCGGTCTGTTTGACACCGTCATTTGGTAAGATTGCCTAAGCGTAGAGTCCAACCAGGTTGAGAGTTACATTTGACAGAAAGGCTGGAGCATGGGCTCTACTGGACCCACTACCTGATAAGGGAGCCTAAGGGCCCATCCAGACAGGCCCCAAAACCTAGACATGTCCAAACAATGGTGCTCATTCCCTCCCCCAAAAGCCCCCAGGTTAATGAAAGCCTACCTGGCCCCCATAACTTTCCTCCTCACATCCTCCTGGCACGAGATGGCAGTTTTTTTCCTCCTCACTTCTCCTGTGTCTTGGGTGTCATTTAGGATGTAGCCACTCCACCCAGCTACCCTCTAGGAAAGCCCGGGTTTTTGTTTGAGCATGGGGACTGAGACCCACACCAAAGTAGGTTATTTAAAACCTGTTTGACGCAGATTTTTGTCCTGCTTGGAAGCACCCTGAGCCTGATTGTGCTTGACATGGGAGCAGGAACAGGGGGACCTGTTGCACTTCAGGTCAGGAAGAGCCCTCTGACTTTAAAACACACCACACGAAGAGTGAAGAAACAAATCTTCTTTTATTGAAGCTTAGTAAGTAGCTAGAAGAAATAAATGCTTGTAAGAAAATGAGAAAGTTCCAAAAAGTATTAAGTCCATAAAAGATAGTAACACCAAGCAATGTCCACAACAGAGATATAAGCAATCCAAGACAGTATTAATCCAGACAAGAATCAACAGGATGCAAAGACAATCCAAAAGGCTAAAAAAAAACTCCACAGGAACAAGACCCCTTGAACAGGATTTCCATGGCACATGAACTTGATTTCCAAATGATGCCTGATCTAACAGGTTTCCCCTTGAGGCAAACTTTATATCCCAAAACTCAGAAACTGGTTTTGCCTTCCCCCACATTTACCTCTTATCAGCCGAAGCCTTTCAGAGCGACGTAAACACTGAGTTTGCTGTCTTTCCTGGCTGATCTCCTTACATCTCAAAATGTGCGGCAATGCCACTCTGACAGTTTGCAAAAATTATGCCTGTAGCATTTCTTTTGCATTTATTCTTTCCAGATTCTGGGGTAAATAAGGTGCAGCATTTTCAAGGGGAAACTCTAGTTTATATCAGAGAGCTGCCTGCAAACAATGCTTAAACGGCACTAGGCCCATAAAGTAAAATTATTGCTGTCATAACCATTATCCTTATTATATAGGTTGAGTTTCCCTTTTCTGAAATTCTGAAATCTGAAATGCTTCCAAAATGGAAACATTATGTCACCAGCTGCATGCCAAAATGCACAGACGGGGCATTCTGTAGATTTGCAAGAGCTCATCCTGCCTTTGACACATCTCCTTTTGCTCTTCCAGAGAAAGAGGGTATCTGTCCCAAAAATGATGGTCAGCAACAGTCCTCCAGGGACTGTGTCTATCGTTGTTCACAAGATGTCAATTGCGCTGGCAAGAGGAAGTGCTGCAAAACTGGGTGTGGCACTGACTGCCTGGAGCCACTGACTGGTAAGGGAGCCTGAACCTGGGACCCAACCAGGCCAATGGGTGGCACTGGGCGCCGGGGCTGGAATAGAGGGACCATCCTGCCCAACACCTCCCTTTTCCAGATGCAAGTTGGCTTTATTTTATTTATTTATTTCAAAGTTTTATATACCGAGCTTCTCACCTCATAAGAGGGACTCAGCCTGGTTTCCAACCATAAAAACACATACAATCGATAAAATATCTCTTTATCTCTCTTGTCAATATCTCTCTTCAATTTTGTTGCCCAAAATTGGACATAGCAGATGTAAAGACTGCCCCATTAGATCACAAAAGCTTGAAAGGTCAATGTTTTCCATAGCCAAAGATAGGTAAGTACTCAGGCCACTCAAGGTTCCTCTATGGTTAGAAAAATCTCTCAACTATAGTTTAGTGGTGGCCGAGAACCCCTCCCCCCCAGGTCCTCTTGTCCTCCTTCTTCTAGTCCAACTTCAGAGTTGGAGCCATTTTGGAAAATTAGATACACAGACAGATATAACCAAACATATTTTCAATTTTATATAGACAGATACAGATAGATGTAGATCTCTGCTATTTGCTTCCATTCCAATTTTATTCACCCCACTCCCACATGTGGCGTTATTATAGCACTCCTCCAAGATGGCCACTGCTCTTGATAGCCATCAGAATTCATATGATGCCACTCTATCGAGTCTAACTTGCCACAATTCATGTTTCCTTGTTTCTATCTCTTTTATTAAAGGTGTCCCGTCGGTCAATTCAACAACATCTCCTCCTGGTGAGCATGGGTTTTGTTGCATAAATGCCGGGGAATGGGGTGCTCTGGATGGAACCAGCAGGCCAGTGTCTCATGCCCCTTTGGGTCTCAATATTTCCCTACATTGCGAGCTAACACAGAGCATTTGTTATTAGTCACTACCTTTTCTGTTTGTGGATAGCCAAGGGACACTGGGGATGCTCTGGAGATGCATCAGAGCAGTTCCAGAGCAGCTTACACTGGATTAATCAGGTCGGTGTAGACACAGGTTCTATCAATGCAATTTGCTGACCAACTTGCTTTTTATCATCCAATTAACTGACTTCAGACTGTTGTTTCTGCTTCAACAGCGGCTCTTATCTTTATTAACGTTTCATTCGTTGCAGTAACACTTACTCATTAACACGGTCACAATGCAAGAGAGAAGAGAAAGAGACAGAGCGATCATGTCTGCTATATTTAAACCCCACTTTTATCAGCTCATTAATTCAGTGTCCAGCCTCCTAGTCTATTGCAACATCTTTGTTGCACTCCAGAACAGGAAATAGCCCCTCTGACTATAAACACACCACACGCTGAGTGAAGGAACAATCCTTTTTATTAAAGCTTACAAAAAAAGCCAGTAGAAATAAATGCTTGTAAAGATAGATAAGACTCCAAAAAGCTATAAGGCATTCAAATGCAGCAAGATAAAACAGTGTCCAAATGTAGCAATCAAAAGCAATGTCCAAAAAGCATGAAAATACAATCCAGGGCAATGATTATCTAGACAGGAATCAAACAAGAAGCAAGAACCGACCAGATGCTGCTAGTCAACTTGAAAGGCTAGAAAAATCCATGAAGAAAAGACCACTTGAACAGGAATTCCATGAGGCTTGTCCTTAGTTTCTAAACGATGTCTGATCTGACAAGATTTTCTAAAGTCAAACCTTAAATCCCAAAAACTGGTTATGTTTTCTTCCAGTCGTTGACCTTAACTGACAAATTCTTTCGGATCTATGTAAACATTGGGCCTCTTGTTGATTCTGGCTAATCTCCAGCCACTTGACCAGGTGTCAGACAGTTTTCCAAAGTAGAAACTGGAGAGCTCACAGGTGGAGGGAGTAAACCTTCCTCCCAAGGCCTGACAGAAACATTCTCATGAGAATCTGCCCTTTGTGCCGAAGCCTCTCTGTCAGTGTCTGCATGACACTTATTGACCAAAGTGTCTCCATCTTGCACCTCAGAGTCAGCCCCAGCATCCCCCACATCAGAAGCAACAGGAGACTGATTTCCCTCCTCATTACCCACATCAGACACAGAAACATCAGGAGACTGAAACACATTCACAGGTTCAATCACAAGCTGAGTCCCAACAAGCTTCCTTGTCTGTTCTACATGGTTCATAACATTCCAAAGATTAACTTCACAGCTAGCTGCATGGACATTTTAAACATGTACTATATATGTTGACATTACACTGATAGGTTCTGCTTCACCATTGACTGGTGCAAGAACGTCCCCTCTTAGTAGCCCAATGTGACCTTCCTCAGCCATCCCTCCTAACTACAGTCCATCTAACAGGGCCAGTCTAATTGTCACCTTTGTCTGTGTTACCCCAAAGCTACACTAGCCTCTCATTCTAATGAAGAGTCAAGTTAGTAAGGAAGAAACAAGAACTTCATTTTATGTTTTCATCTGTTGCTCAAGCAACAAAGAAGGCAAGTTCACCTGAATATTCTTGGTAGGACGTTGGTATACCTTTTCGCCAAGAGGTTGTAGTTTCCTGTTTGGCTGTCTGGTTCTTTAGAACAGCGGTTCCCAAACCTTTCCAAACACGAAACCCTTCAGAAGTCTCTCTTCCCTCAGCAGAAGCCTAACTCTGTCCCTCAACATTGTGACTCCACAAAGGTTTCCCTTCTTTCATCCACTTCTATTGCCTGAGTGGTTTTGTATAATGTGATAGGGTTGGAAATAAAGAGATTCAAGAACTTATAAAGCAAAAGTACTCTGCATTTCAACAAGACCTTCATTCTCAGGGACGGAGATTATTAAAATAGATATTTCACGGAACCCTGATGATGCTTTTGCAGAACCTTAGGGTTCCAAAGGACATGGTTTAGGAAGCGCTGCTTTTGAATCAGGAATATTTGTACGTAGCCCCTTCCTCTTTTTGGAGAACACTGTAAAGTACTTGAGTCAGCTTAGCCTATGAATAGCCCATCACTCTTATTTTTAAATCGTGATATATTATTGTTCTGCACTGCATCAAGAGATCTCAGGGGCCTATTATTATGGCTAGTGAATGGGGCTAGCATTGCCTTCTTTGTCTCCACCATGTGGCTACTGTACCCCTTCCATCGTCTCCCCCTTCTCTTTTTCAGACACTCAAGCAATAGAAGAAGCTTCTGGAGAGTAGAACAGAGGGGTCTCATAACAGCTGGAAGTTACTCCTGGATCCTCCCCAAAGTGGCCGTCCATCCTGCATGCCAGCATCTCCCTCGCGTCTCCCCTTCCCTCTACCATCACTGTATTACTCTCCTTTCTCCCATCCAAACATGCCTTAGCAAGCCCAGCATGAATACAAACATCTATGGCCATATAAAGCATTGTCAGAAAGTTCTTTTGTTTCTTTGGCATTTTTTCTTGGAAGGGTGAAGGAATGGGGTTAAGAGGTCACAGGCATCACTCCGGGAGCACCTACTTAACTGACAAATTCTTTCGGATCTATGTAAACATTGGGCCTCTTGTCGATTCTGGTTAATCTCCAGCTGCCGACTCAGCTTATCTGACTCCTCATTAACTTGACCAGGTGTCCAGACTGTTTCCCAAAGTAGAATCTGGAGAGCTCACAGGTGGAGGGAGTAAACCTTCCTCCCAAGGCCTGACAGAAACATTCTCATGAGAATCCGCCCTTTGCACCGAAGCCTCTCTGTCAGTGTCTGCATGAAACTTATTGACCAAAGTGTCTCCATCGTACCTCTTTAATTGTCATGATTCCATGGCTGGGAGGGCCTTCGCACAATTAAAACTCGTGCGCCAGCTGTGACCGTACCTCATGAAGTCAGATCTGGCCATGATGGTCCACGCCTTAGTGACCTCCAGATTGGATTACTGTAATGCACTCTACGTGGGGCTGCCCTTGAAGACGGCTTGGAAATTTCAATTGGTCCAACGGGCGGCAGCGAGACTACTAACTGGAGTGACTTACAGGGAGTGGTCTACCTCGCTGTTTAAGGAGCTCCACTGGCTGCCGTTTATTTTCCAGTCCCAATTCAAAGTGCAGGTTCTTATCTACAAAGCCCTGAATGGTTTGGGACATGCCTACCTGCGTGACCGCATTTCTGTGTACGAACCCACTCGATCTCTTCAATCATCTGGAGAGGCCCTGCTCTCGCTTCTGCCCCCTTGGCAGGTGCGATTGGTGGGGACGAGGGAGAGGGCCTTCTCTGTGGTGGCCCCCCGACTCTGAAACTCACTCCCCAAGGATATTAGACAAGCTGCCACATTGGCAGTCTTTAGGAGGAGCCTGAAAACGTGGCTGTTCCAGTGTGCCTTACCTGAATAAAGGAAACAATGCCCTGCTCTGATCAATTCCCTGCAAAATGTCCTCAGAATCACTTTAACTACCCGTTGGGTTGCTCTCCCTACATTATCTTTTAAAACCCTCCTGCTTAGATACATCCTCTGTTCACGCCCAGTGTTTATTTTAAAATTTTAATCTGGCCCGGCCATAGGTTTATTGCTTATATGTTTATTGCTTATATGAGAGTTATATTAATTGTACTGTTTTATTTGCTTGCTGCTTTGTTGTTTACTGATGTGTTGTTGGGCTTGGTCTCATGTAAGCCGCCCCGAGTCCCCTTGGGGAGATGGTGGCGGGGTATAAATAAAGTTTATTATTATTATTATTATTATTATTATTATTATTATTATTATCCATCCACTGATTGAAACCTCCAGAGAAGGATACTCCACCGGACTCCCAGGCAGCATATTCTATGCTGAACTTCTCTTTTCTTCCTAATATTTAGGTGGAATCTCTTTTCTAGCAGTTTGAATCCATTGCTCTGTTGTGTCCTAGTCTTTGGGGCTTTTCTCCTCAATCAGACATCCTTTCAAATGTTCAAATATAGCTCTCATGTCCCCTCCTCTCAGCCTTCTTTTCCCCAAACTAAACATCCCCAGCTCGCTCAGCCACTCCTCATAGGATTTGCAGTTTCCCCCCTTTTTTTGCAGTGTGAATCAATTGCCCTTTCTCTGGATGCGTCTCTACTGTAGAACTAATGTAGAATTGACCCAGAGAGCGGCGGAGGCCCCCGCCTTTAAGTTGGTATGAACCGCAGAGGAGAGTTCCGCAGTTCCTGGGAGCCAAGTTTGGGACCAACTGATAAAATGTGCCCCAGCAGACAGCTCAAAACTAGGACTGCACTCAGCTTTCTATTACTTTCCCCCTCTCCTTACTTTGTAACCAATCCCCAATAAAGATACTTGAAATTTGCAACTTTTAACTTTTCCGCTTGATACTTTGTGTCCTTCGCTGCCTAAAGCTAACCCAAGCATGAAATAAACCTGTCTAGGCTCTGGGCAACCGCGGGCCTGCCTGGGATGCCTTCCGGGCGTCCCGGGGAGGCCGAATCTGCATCAATTGGAACCGCGGATACGGAGGCCTTCCTTTTGGGCCCCCGTATCCGCTAAAATCTCAAAATGGTGGATCGGCCCCGTTTCAGTGCCATATTTTTCTGTGCTTGATTCTTAATCAAACTGCTATCTCGCTTTTCTCATTTTGGACCCCTACGCCTGGGAAATAATCATAGATAGATATTGATAGATAGATAGATAGATATGATTCACACACACACAGATATAGTACCATAGATTTGAAAGGGACCCCTAAAGAAGGACAATGATATGTTGCATGTTCCAGAGTGGGCAAACCAGACACTCTCCACATCAACACTGACAAAGAAACAGCAAGAAATACTGTTTACCCACAAGCATAAAGAAATTACATATATTAGAAACCAACACTTTCTCATTACTTTATTTTCCAGATCAACAGACTGGGCCACAGCAACACGTGGCAGGGGACAGCTAGTTACATATAAATGATACATACAGAATTACATATTAACCACAATGAATTAATTTTAAAATTAGTTTGAAAATAAAAAAAACTATATTAATTAAAAGTACAATAATACTGGCTGTCTAGCTTTACGTAGAAATGAATTCAGCGAGCACAACACAATCGGAAGCCTGTCCGTAGTCCATTTCCCATAACATTATCATTCTTACCATTGTCAATTATCTGCCAGCTACCTAAAGGCCTGGTCCCATAACCATTTTCAATTTCCTCCTGAAGGCGAGGAGGGATGTTGTTGACCTGATTTTGCTGGGGAGCAAGTTCCACAGGCGGGGGGCCACCACCGAGAAGGTCCTGTCCCTCATCCCCACCAAGCGTGTTTGCGCCAAAGGCAGGGCCGAGAGCAGGGCCTCCTCAAAATATCTTAAATTTTGAGATAGGACATAGAGCAGTGGTTCTCAACTTTCCTAATACCGCGACGCCTTAATACAGTTCCTCATGTTGTGGCGACCCCAGCCATAAAATTATTTTTGTTGTTACTTCATAACTGTAATTTTGCTACCGTTATTAATTGTAATGTAAATATCAGATATCCAGGATGTATTTTCATTCACTAGACCAGTGTTTCTCAACCTGGGGGTCGGGACCCCTATGGGGGTTGCGAGGGGGTGTCAGAGGGGTCGCCGAAGACCATCAGAAAATACAGTATTTTCTGTTGAGCATGGGGGTTCTGTGTGGGAAGTTTGGCTCAATTCTATCATTGGTGTGGTTCAGAATGCTCTTTGATTGTAGGTGAACTATAAATCCCAGCAACTACAACTCCCAAAATGTCAAAGTCTATTTTCCCCAAACTCCACCAGTGTTCACATTTGGGCATATTGAGTATTCATGCCAAGTTTGGTCCAGATCCATCATTGTTTGAGTCCACAGTGCTCCCTGGATGTAGGTGAACTACAACTCCCAAACTAAGGTCAATGCCCACCAAACCCTTCCAGTATTTTCTGTTGGTCATGGGAGTTCTATGTGCCAAGTTGGTTTAGTTCCATTATTGGTGGAGTTCAGAATGTTCTTTGACTGTAAGTGAACTATAAATCCCAGCAACTACAACTCCCAAATGACAAAATCAACCCCTCCCCAAACCCCACCAGTATTCCAATTTGGGCGTATTGGGTATTTGTGCCGAATTTGGTCTAGTGTGTTTCTCAACCTTCCCAATGCCGTGACCCCTTAATACAGTTCCTCATGTTGTGGTGACCCCCAACCATAAAATTGTTTTCATTACCACTTCACAACTGTAATTTTGCTACTTATGAATCGTAATGTCAATATCTGATATGCAGAATGTATTTTCATTCACTGGGCCAAATTTGGTACAAATATCCGATGCACCCATGTTTGAATGCTGGCGGGGTTGGGGAGAATTGATTTTTTTCATTTGGGAGTTGTAGTTGCTGGGATTTATAGTTCACCTACAATCAAAGAGCATTCTGAACTCCACTAATGATGGAATTGAACTAAACTTGGGACACAGAACTCCCACAGCCAACAGAAAATACTGGAAGGTTTGGTGGCATTGACCTTGAGTTTTGGAGTTGTAGTTCACATACACCCAGAGCGTACTGTGGACTCAAACAATGATGGATTAGGACCAAACTTGGCATGAGTACTCTATGTGCCAAAATGTGAACACTGATGGAGCTTGGGGAAAATAGATCATAACACTTTCATTCACTGGACCAAATTTGGCACAAATATGCAATATGCCCAAATCTGAATCCTGGTGGGGTTAGAGGGGGGATTGATTTTGTCATTTGGGAGTTGTAGTTGCTGGGGTTTATAGTTCACCTACAATGAAAGAGCATTCTGAATCCCACCAATGATAGAATTGGACCAAACTTCCCACATAGAACCCGCATGACCAACAGAAAATACTGTTTTCTGGTGGTCTTTGGTGACCCCTCTGACACCCCCTTGCGACCCTCCCAGGGGTCCCGACCCCCAGGTTGAGAAACACTGCTGTAGAATGAATACATCATGTGAATCGCCATGGCTCAAAGTTATGGAATCATGGGAGTTGTAGTCTTTAGCTTTCATTGCCAAACTGTGCAGGAGCCTAACACCAATATAACTTCCAGGAAACCCATGGCAATGTTTTATGGCAGAAAAAGAGGTGTCAAACTGCATCAGTTCAAAAATGTTGATGCACCCTAAGTTTAGACTGAATAGAAAGATGAAAGTAGGAAGGAGGGTTGAAGAAGGTGCAATGGCAGGTACTGTTGATTGTGCCAAAATGGGCTTCTCAAAAGGGGAGTTGGAGAGATTAGAGGAAGAAATAGAGGGTGAGGGCATTTAGGGGAAAGGTCAGAAAGGATGAAGAAAGTGGGATGTTAATCTGGGCTGCTAAAAGAGTCTGAGATGGAAGAAGACAGAACAATAGGGTGACGATGGAAGGACATAGACGTGGATGGAAGATACTGGCATGCAGGACTGGTGGTCTCTCCATACTCCAGGGAGGATCCAGGAGTAACTTCCAGGAGTTTCAAGTCCTCTCTGTCCTTCCTTCAGGAGGTTGTCTCTGTTGGTTTAGACAGCTGCAAAAGAGAAGAGAAACAATTGGTCAAAAAGGCAGAGGTACAGACGGCAATGTTAGCCAGATGCACCAAGCCATCCCTCCAAAACTCTGGGATCTCTCTTTAAAAAAAAACAAACAAAAAAACCCAACAATTTTTATTAAGACTTATTCTTACAAATATATAGGTAAAAAGGATAGGGTTAGAATATTAGGATTAAGGGAGGAAAGAGGGATCGGGGTTGACTGGGTTGAAGGGGATGGAAAAGGGGTGTTGACGACCAAGGATAGTGTGGGATAGTGTGGGATAGTGTGCTCTCCTTTCATATCATGTCTGTTTAGATATATTGATATGTATTCCTCAAATAGCTTCCAGTCTGTTCTTTTTATTGGTCTTCCGTATGAATCTTTTAATGCAAAGGTCAGTTTGTCCATGTCTTTAATTTCCTCCACTTTACTTATCCATTCTTCTTTTGTGGCTACTTCCTTCTGTTTCCATTTTTTTGCCCATACTATTCTTGCTGCAGTGATACAATAATTAAACAGGATATCCATATTTTGGTCTAGTTCCAATTCTTCGTCTATGATTCCCAGTAAAAAGTATTCTGGTTTCATCTGAATTTTCAATTTTAATATCTTCTCACATTCTTGTTTTATCATTTTCCAGTATGCACTAATCACGGGACATGTCCACCATGCATGGTAAAAAATAAAAAAATAAAAATAAATAAATAAATAAATAAATAAATAAATAAATAAATAAATAAAAAAGGTTGGGAAGACATGTCCACCATGCATGGTAGAAGGTTCCCGTCTGTAATTCACATTTCCAGCATTTGTTTCTAACATTGTCATACATGATACCTAATTTTTGTGGCGTCATATACCACAACTCTGGGATCTCTCTGAAGCATCCCAGAACAAACCCCATTTCCTCTTGAGCCTCATTAACAGCTGGATGTGTTGCTTCCACTGCAAATCCAAGCCATGCATTGTTTGGGACCCTACGGAGACTCAGATATCAGTTGACGTTACCTTTGCCGTATAGATATGGCCAGAAGAACAGAATTTGCCCAGAATAGTTGTGCTCTTGCTGGTTCATCCCAACTGGAGTAGACCCACTGGACACCTTGCTGAATGACGAGTTACCAGCCAATAATGGCTCTACTCTAAGCCAACCTAATAAAGAGGATTTGGGCTACCATTTTCGTTGATCACAAATTGAGCTCCTGATTAAAGTGATTCAAAGATGGTCAGAAGTCATCATAGTTCAAGTCCTAAATAAAGATGAGAAATGCATGTGGCTTCTATGCGCTTCTATTGTACGTCTATTGTATGTTGTACATTGTGTTACTACTATTGCAAAGGAGTTCAGCTGCTGGCCTATTCAAGTGCTGATGCATGATGCCATACGATCTATTGCAACACAGTTGGTCCTCTGGTTCAATGCATTCTGGGTCCATGGATTCAACCCTCTACTGCTCAAAAGTTTTTTTTTTTAATCCAAAAAAGGAAATCTTGATTTTGCCATTTTATAGATCAGGTTATGCCATTTTACTCCACCATTGTATATAATGGGACTTGAGTGTTCATGGATTTTGGTATCCAGAGGGGGTCCTGGAAACAAACTCCAGCAGATTCCAAGGCTCTACTGTATATGCAATTTATGCTATAGAGCAAGGGATTATTTGGTCTTCCAGATGTTTTTCATCTGCACCTTTTAGTCTCTTTCTAATGCAGCATACTCAAAGATGAGGAATGTGGGGAAAATTGCCTGTGCTTTTGAGGACTTCATAGTCTACCTGGGCCTGCCTTTGGGCACTTTTATGCCACCCCAAAATTACCATGAGATCCACAGAACTGGAGGCAAGCTTCTTCTTCCCAGAAGTTGTTGGCGTTGCCATGGTGTCCTCGGTAGATGAAGTGCTCACAGGTCCTGGAGTCGGAGTTGTAGAAGTAGCGAGGCCTCAGGGCATCGCCTATTCCATGGTCCATTGGGAGCTGACAGATCCCTGAAAGGAAGGAGCAGACCACCATAAGACTGAAGTGCATTTCTATTTGTCCAAACCTCCATTGGGAATTTTGGAGACCAGGATCATGTGTGGCTTATATGCACATATGCAGTTAACTTGGAGGTCTCTCATTCATGGGGTCACCACAAGTCAAAGTTGACTCAAGGAGAAACAACAACTGCTCTTCTAGAATGGAGTAACACAACACAGCCCCCATATCCACAGGGGGTAGATGTCTGTACTGATTGAGGAAATGTGAAACCACAGATAATAGCAAACCCTATTGAAACAAAAGATTTCTGGTAGAAGAATACCACAGAATGATGTTGAAGGACCAAGAGAATGCCTATAGAGAACATCTCAATATCCTTTCTAGATCCACCAGAATGATGTTGAAGGACCAAGAGAATGCCTATAGAGAACATCTCACTAGCCTTTCTAGATCCACCAGAATGATGTTGAAGGACCAAGAGAATGCCTATAGAGAACATCTCATTAGCCTTTCTAAATCCACCAGAACGATGTTGAAGGACCAAGAGAATGCCTATAGAGAACATCTCACTAGCCTTGCTAGATCCACCAGAATGATGTTGAAGGACCAAGAGAATGCCTATAGAGAACATCTCACTAGCCTTGCTAGATCCACCAGAATGATGTTGAAGGACCAAGAGAATGCCTATAGAGAACATCTCACTAGCCTTTCTAGATCCACTAGAATGATGTTGAAGGACCAAGAGAATGCCTATAGAGAACATCTCACTAGCCTTTCTAGATCCACCAGAACGATGTTGAAGGACCAAGAGAATGCCTAGAGAGAACATCTCACTAACCTTTTTAGATCCACCAGAACAATGTTGAAGGACCAAGAGAATGCCTATAGAGAACATCTCACTAGCCTTTCTAGATCCACCAGAACAATGTTGAAGGACCAAGAGAATGCCTATAGAGAACATCTCACTAGCCTTGCTAGATCCACAAGAACAATGTTGAAGGACCAAGAGAATGCCTATAGAGAACATCTCACTAGCCTTTCTAGATCCACCAGAATGATGTTGAAGGACCAAGAGAATGCCTATAGAGAACATCTCACTAGCCTTTCTAGATCCACCAGAACAATGTTGAAGGACCAAGAGAATGCCTATAGAGAACATCTCACTAGCCTTGCTAGATCCACAAGAACAATGTTGAAGGACCAAGAGAAAGCCTATAGAAAACATCTCATTCAAGAGAATGCCTATAGAGAACATCTCACTAGCCTTTCTAGATCCACCAGAACGATGTTGAAGGACCAAGAGAATGCCTATAGAAAACATCTCACTAGCCTTTCTAGATCCACCAGTTCAAATCTATTATCAAGCTCTGGTTGAAGCTTCCACAGAATCATGCTGGAGGGTTTGGAAATGGTTTAGAAAGAGTATATAGATGAAATCACAAGTACCAGTCCCATAGATCTGGGGGTCATACTGTGTGTGTGTGTGCATGTGTGCGCGCACGGACACACATCTCACATGTATATACACACAATTATGAATGCTATTTCATAGAATTAAAGAATCGTAGAGTTGGAACAGGGCCATTTAGTCCTAACCCAATTCTGCCATTTGTGAGTCCTACTAGAGTAGACCCATTGCTCCGATTCTTGAACATTCAGACAATGAAGGGGCCAACGAGGCCACACGTAGACACCCTATTCATTCAGTGGGATGGCTCTAGTTTGCCTGCAGTAGGAGTTGTCCCTTTAATCTCTGTTGAGCCTGCCTTCACTCCAGTCCCTTCAGTATCCTTCTCACCTGGATTGGAGCAGCTCCGGAGACACTCCAGTTGTGTTGCAAAGTTGTTCCTGTTGCCTCCGCAGCCTTTGTAAAGGAACCTCTCGCACCTCTTAGCTTGGGAGTTGTAGAAGACGCGGTGGACAGAGGGGGCGTCACAAGAGCCAGAGGCACTAGGAAGGTGGCAGAAATCTAGGCACAGAGGAGATGCCCATTAAGAGGGACTGGGGCAATGTCACCGTTGCAAAAGAGGAAAGAAAGGTTAACAGTGCATACTCCTATTGACTCAAATATTCCCACTGATCAGGCTCCCACTGGCGCCATGTTAGCACATTATGGGCTAAACCAGGCATGGGCTAACTTTGGCCCTCCAGGTGTTTTGGACTTCAACTTCCATAATTCCTAACAGCCGGTAGTCTGTTAGGAATTGTGGGAGCTGGAGTCCAAAACACCAGGAGGGCCTAAGCTCACTCGGCGTAAACTATGTCACTTCTGCACAGAGATCAACCTCCACATTGTGACTTAATGGTTGAGATCCTGCATCTGAGTTGCATACATACTGGAGAATTAATGCGGTTTAATGCCATTTTTATTGCCCTGGGTCAATGCTATGTTGCTTGGGAGATTTTGCTAAAGCAGCAGTGCTAAAGCAGCAGATTTTGGGGGAATTTGCTAAAACAGCAGTACTCATTGGCAGAGATTGTATTGTGTAAAAGTAAAACTACCACGTGTCTATAGCACTGACCCATGGCAATTAAATAGGGATGAAACTGCATTGTTGTTGTTGTTCATTCGTTCAGTTGTCTCCGACTCTTCGTGACCTCATGGACCAGTCCACGCCAGAGCTCCCTGTCGGCCGTCACCACCCCCAGCTCCTTCAAGGTCAGTCCAGTCACTGAAACTGCATTAAATAACAACAATAAGAATTTTATGGCCCATCCCTCCTTGCAGCTTGAGGCAAGTAAAACAAGGTTAAAACAGAGAGATAAAACACAAGACTATTAAAATACATATAATGTGATAGTAAAGATAAAGGTTTCTCCTTGACATAAAGTCCAGTTGTGTCCGACTCTAGAGGTTGTGCTCATCTCCATTTCTAAGCCGAAGAGCCAGCATTGTCTGTAGACACCTCCAAGGTCATGTGGCCAGCATGACCGCATGGAGCACTATCTGGTACCTATTGATCTATTTGCATGTTTTCAAACTGCAGAACTGTGCTGCAGAATTTGAAGAGGCAGAAATGGAGGGTGAAAGAGAGAAACGTACCAAGAGGAAGGTGTGTCAAGCCAACCCCAACCGAGACCACCTCCCACCTGGAAACCAATGCCCTCAATGCTGGAGAAGATGCAGGTCAAGCATTGGGCTCCACAGCCACCTACAAACCCACTCCCAGGACACTGAACTTGGAGGACCATCATCCTCGGACTACGAGGGATCGCCTAAGTAAGTAAAAGTAAGTAAGTTTTCAAACTTCTAGATTGGCAGAGGCTGGGCTGTTGGAGTTCAGCCTGTGATTGTGTTTCTGGATCAGGGTGCTTTGGATGTGGTTAATGATGTCAAAGAGGTTCAAGATGGCAATGGTTTGGTCAGTGATATTGATGCAGAGAATGACAGAGAGACACCTGTTCAAAGTGTAGTTTCTCATGAGAATGTTCCTACAGGGTATTAGGATGATGGTTTACTCCCTGAATTGCTCCCAGAGAGTTCCCAGGATTTGGGGCTTGAAAACAACTTGGCACCTGTAGAAACTAATGAGCATATAGACAGGCAGGTGGAAATTAGCTAAAACAGACAGCTCGACCAAGGCCTTTGGCGTTCTGCCAGGTTCCGACAGAAAAAGATAAAGGGCGTTCAAGAAAAGTGAAACCAATTCCTGAGTGATTGGAATGGCTTAATGAGGGGATAAAAGTTCCAAACATGGGAAATATAGCCAGATGAAGCATAATTTAGAATCCCGTTAAGTTCTTGTTCTTGTATCATGGAAGTTTTGCTTGGAACATTCATGTTTAAGGATTTCTTGTTTCATGGTTTGACTCTGTCTCTTGTGATTACATACTCATGCCTTGAATCAACGTTTCCTGGTTCTTTGGATTTTGTTAGAAAAGTGTGGACTTTGTTTTGGGACTTGGCTGAGCTCTACCTTGGACTAATTTGTTCCTGCTTATCTGCTTACCTAATTGGATTTACCTATTCCTTTAAAGTGCTTTTTTTACTTTTCTGCTTTTACTTATCTTCAATAAAAGGATTGTTTTTCCCTACACAACGTTTGGTGTTTTAAAGTCAGAGGATTATTTCTGTCCTGGAGGGCAACATGGGCCTAAGAGCAGGAGCTCATGCCGCTCCCCAGATTTGAACCTGTGACCTTTCGGTCAGCAAGTTCAGCAGCTCCGTGGTTTAACCCACTGCACCACCTGGGGCTCCTTTATCCTTAATGGGATGCACACAGTTAAATTTCAGGTTAAAGTTCACCAATAAAACAAAGTAATCTATATTAATAAAAATGTAATGTTTGTTTGTGGGATTAACATAACTCAGAAACCACTAGACGAATTGACACGGAATTTTGACACAATACACCTAACAGTCCAACGAGTGTTCATCACCCATAAACACACACAAAACCCTAGCATAACTGACTTAAAAATCCCAAAAAATACACCACATATATACACACACACTCATACATATACACATGTATATACACACACACACACATATTTATACCCAAGAAGACACATACATCTACACACATGCACACATACATATATACATACAAATATGCATATAAACAAGCACAGACATATACACAATATACATATATACATATAAACACACAAAAATACACACACGTATATACACATCTGCACACAGATATGCACACACATATATACACCCATATACATATATACACATGCAAACACGCATATATACACAGTTACACAAATATACACACACATAAACTGTGCCGTCGCACCTGGGGGCTATAACTCTTAATGAAAGAGACATGGATGTGGCATCTTTCCCCAGGGGATTGCTTCTTGCCCTCCTATAGGAAACTGGAACTCCCAAAGACCAAAACACAACAGATAACTCGAAATGGTATTTATTGTTCACAATGAGTTATCTTTCTCAGGCATAAGCTTGATGTTTCAACAGGGATAAAGGAAATATACTTTACAATCTCTGAAGTCCAAGGAGTTTGCAGCTGAGAAGCTTTTCCTGTTTCCTCTTTCCTCAATGGCTGTGAATATCGGAATAAACACAACCCCAGTCCAATGGCCTATGTTGAAGGGACAAGACCTTCCTCTGGTGCCAAAAGAACCGGTTTGAAGGTGCTTGGGTCTCCTCAATGTTGTCCAGGATGATCTGGACATAAAGCATGAGTCCCAAGGGTAAAAAACCTTAGAATTGGTGCTGAGAGGTAATTTAAGCAGGGGCTTTTAGAGCCAAGTCTCTTACTCACGTCCATCTGATAGAAACTCTGATGGCAGAATGAAAAAAGGGAAGCACTCCCCTCCTCCAGGAAGAGGTGGAGCCAAACAATTGAGCTTGAGAAAGCAATTCAACTGGTGCAAACAACACTGATTGACAGCTATAAATAACCAATCAATCCAACTATACATAAGCAGGGTAAAAAGGCAGGATTAAGCATGATACAACAGTTTAAATCTTGCAACTAACAGTTCTACACATAGGTGGCGCCACTCACGCGGTCACATAAACACATATATACACACACATAACACATATATACAGACTGGGCCACAGCAACACGTGGCAGGGGATGGCTAGTAAACTAATAAAATAAAATAATAAAATGCATTTAAAACTGGGTGTAGTCAATTTTATTCTATACCCATAGTATCAGTCTCCAAATTCAAACACAGATTGTGCTGTTCAACTCTTGCATTAAATGGCAACATCATCACGCAACTGAATGCACAATTGAATATATGAGTGTATTATAGCAAATGAATATGCGAGTGTGCATTGCATGAGGAGCTGCATGTTCAGTCTGTACGATCTGCAACTCCTCTTCTGCAACTGACTCTGGACATTCTGTGAAGGACAAAAAATGCCCAACTTTTTCTGAAGGGCAATTTTAGCACTTTTGCATATAAAGTTCCCATGGAGACTGAAGGTTAAATTTGAAACAATGCTTGCTTTTCCTTGCAGTTTTGTTGCAGAGGATGGTTAGGCTGCCACCAAAGGGATGTTCAGCAAACCAGTTCCTAGATGGAGTGACAGGAAGCAGCTGGAGAAATTCTGCAAATCTGAATTACAGGGAAATGCCCTGTAATAAATATAGATACTAAATCATACTGTCTGGAATCCTAGTGAGGAGTGAGGTGTTGCAGTAGAGTGTGTTGAGCAAGATACAACTGGTAGTAGAAGGGGAAAGAGGGCTGCTCAGGTGCTGGAACAAGAGCAGCAAAGGAAGCGAATTAGGGAGATATTCATGACACCTACAGATACTGAGTCATTTCGAAGGTTTCACAGACTCTGAGATGGAGGAGGAGGGAGATGGGAGTAGAGGCTTGAAACGGGTTACTCGGGAGCAAGAGTCAGATGAAGAAAGGGAAAGGAAGCGGATCCATGAAATACTTAATGCTCCCACTGAGGAGGAAGACCATGGGGTTCACAGGGAGTGATGGGACTGGGAGTGATGACGGAGAGGAGGATGGGCTAGATTGGACCCGTGTACAAGAGATCAGGGACATATGTACCCAACCCACATCAAGTGAGGAGTTTGAAGGGTTTTTGGGAGACAGGCAACCTGGAAATACATGGGGTGATCTAAGTCTTGATAGACGTTGGAAAAGTTGGAGGGACGGGCAGTGGCGAGCAGCTGTGAAAGCCAAAGCACCTGAGAGTGATGACGACAGGGTGGAGTCCAGCTCCTCCTCTGATGAGGAGTTATAGGATAAAAGTAAGGTATCAAACTATTGGAACTTTGCAGTAGGCAAAGTGTTGTATTGGGCTTGGGACTTTGTTGCTGTCAAAAGTAAGGTATCAAACTATTGGAACTTTGCAGTAGGCAAAGTGTTGTATTGGGCTTGGGACTTTGTTGCTGTTATTACTCTTGCCTTGGGTCCTGGGACTGCAGATCGCTGTGTTTCCGTGCTTCTACCTTCTGGAATCCTGTAAGTGCTGACTGCTATCTTCCTGCTGACTTCGGATTGTTTTTGGGATGACGACTTTGTGCTTTGGACTGCTACAGTTTCTTCTGGATGTGCCTTGACCTTGGACTGTTTCTAGACTACGTTTTTGCTTGCTCCTACCTTGTTTATTAATGTTTATTGGACTCTGTGTTTTTGAAGCAGTTTGCTGATACTTTTTGTTATCCCAGATTATATCCCAGTATAATCTGGATTATATTCCAAGTTGTGTTTTTTGCTTGGCTTTTTGCTACAGACTTTCAGTTTTGCTAGTAACACTGAGTTAAGTGTTTCTAAGCCATTTTTGTTACTTTAATAAACTTTGTTGGACCTTTACCCTTGTGTTTGGCTCTGTTAAGGCTTCTGGTTCACAACAGTGAGGTGTAAGTTCCCACAAAGACATGGCTTACCTCTCCGTGCACTTCAGTTCAAGATTGCACAAAGGGACCTGAATACATTGCTCTGTTGTCCTTGTTTCTATAAGACTGTCATGATATTCTCGTTACCCATTGTTGTACATTGCACAGGATGGAAATTGCACACACAAGGTCCCATGCATTTCATGTCACATTTGTTTGTGCAACAATGCAGGTCATTGGAAAGTCATCATTATGTGAGTGTGAGGAAGAGCTCCATTCCCTCAGCATAAGATCTTGGTTCAATAAAGCAGTGCCTTATCTCAATCTGCATTAAACCAAATGCAGAAAGAGTAGTTCCAAATTATTAGCAATTTTGGGTGGGAGGAAGTAATGAAAAATAATGAATTCTCTGCCTTGGCGCACAATGCAGGGAAATGTCGAGACCTAGAGACATGCTGAGTCTTTCTAGAGCATCCTAAACATCACATGGCCTTTATGACACAAAACTCATACTTACCACGAGCAGGCCGAGATTCAAGTTCTGTAGAATTCAATGGCCAGGAACCTTTAAAAATGACAGAAAAAAAGAACATGAAATATAGAAATAACCACCTCAACTGGGCTCTACAAGCCAATGGAGAATCCACCTCAGATATCAGAAGAGCTTCAAGACCGAGAAGAAGCCACAAGAGTCAAGACCAAGATCCTCCCAGAGTGAAAGTGTTCTTGCCAGACATCCAGGGAACCCCTGACCGCAGAGGGAAGCTGATGAGGAAACACAACATACAAACTATCTACAGACCCACCAAGAAAATCCAACCAATGCTACGTTCAGCAAAGGACAAGAGGGATCCTCTCACCTCTGCAGGAGTCTACCGTGTACCATGCAGCTGTGGACAAGTCTACATAGGGACCACCAAACGCAGCAGCATTGCCCAAACACGAATCAAGGAACATGAAAGGCACTGCAGACTACTTCAACCAGAGAAGTCAGCCACAGCAGAGCACCTGATGAACCAACCTGGACACAGCATATTATTTGAGAACACAGAAATGCTGGACCACTCTAACAACCACCATGTCAGACTACACAGAGAAGCCATTGAAATCCACAAGCATGTGGACAATTTCAACAGAAAGGAGGAAACCATGAAAATGAACAAATCTGGCTACCAGTATTAAAAAAAACTCTAAAATTGCAACAGCAAAACAACAGAAGGGAAACAATTAGGGACATCTAATCACCTCTCAACAAAAGATTGCCCCAGTTACTAACAAGCCACACCAAACAACTGTCAGACCATCAAATGCTAATCAAGGTGGTCAGTTGAAACAGTCACACCTCACTACCTCTGAAAATGCTTGCCATGGATGCAGGCGAAACATCAGGAGAGAATGCCTCTAGAACATGGCCCGAAAAACCCTACAACAACCCAATAAAGAAATAATTTTCAGGAAGGGAGACCACTCTGCTCCCTCTGCATTCATGTGAAAACCCAGCAAAATGGTGCAAGCAGAGTGCATGATCCACACATCCATACTTGATATCTATGGCAACATTAAGAGCAAGAAGATGCCCTGCGAGCACCAAATGTCCCAAGCCCACTTGTTACTTCTCCATCATTTAATGGTGGGTCAGATGTCAAATTCTAGCCTGATCACACCCTGGAGTTACACTGAAGGACTGAGAGATGCCCACAAAAACTTCTAGAAGTGGCGACCATAAGTTGGTGAATCAGTGGAAAGGGATCCCAGTGATAAGGGGGTCTTCCAAGGAACTCATCTGAGAATAGCTGTCTTACTCATTGCAAATGAAGAGAGTGGCATTACAGCACATTTTGGCACACAGATTGGATTGCAGGAGGGCTAGGTAGTCGCCTTTGGGCTGATATGGGTGGGGCAAAAATGATATAAATAAATAAATAAATAAATAAATAAATAAATAAATAAATACTTCCTCTTCATCCTGGAAAGAAGTGACAAGTGGAGTACCGCAGGGTTCCGTCCTGGACCTAGTCCTGTTCAACATCTTTATTAATGACTTAGACGAAGGGCTAGAAGGCAGGATCATCAAGTTTGCAGACGGGACCAAATTGGGAGGGAGAGCCAATACAGGAGCAGGATTCAAAATGATCTTGACAGATTAGAGAGATGATTGGCCAAAACTAACAAAATGAAGTTCAACAGTGACAAATGCAAGATACTCCACTTTGGCAGGAAAAACGAAATGCAAAGATACAGAATGGGGGATGCCTGGCTCGAGAGCAGTACGTGTGAAAAAGATCTTGGAGTCCTCGTGGACAACAAGTTAAACATGAGCCAGGAATGTGATGTGGCGGCAAAAAGCCAATGGGATTTTGGCCTGCATCAAGAGGAGCATAGTGTCTAGATCTAGGGAAGTCATGCTCCCCATGCTCTATTCCGTTTTGGTTAGACCACACCTAGAATATTGTGTCCAATTCTGGGCACCACAATTCAAGAGAGATATTGACAAGCTGGAATGTGTCCAGAGGAGGGCGACTAAAACAATTAAGGGTCTGGAGAACAAGCTCAAGGGTCTATGAGGAACGGCTTAAGGAGCTGGGCATGTTTAGCCTGAAGAAGAGAAGGCTGAGAGGAGACATGGTGAGGGCCATGTATAAATATGTGAGAGGAAGCCACAGGGAGGAGGAGGGAGCAAGCTTGTTTTCTGCTTCCCTGGAGACTAGGACGCGGAACAATGGCTTCAAACTACAAGAGAGGAGATTCCATCTGGACATGAGGAAGAACTTCCTGACTGTGAGAGCGTTCAGCAGTGGAACTCTCTGCCCCAGAGTGTGGTGGAGGCTCCTTCTTTGGAAGCTTTTAAACAGAGGCTGGATGGCCATCTGTCAGGGGTGATTTGAATGCAATATTCCTGCTTCTTGGCAGAATAGGGTTGGACTGGATGGCCCATGAGGTCTCTTCCAACTCTTTGATTCTATGATTCTATGAAATAAATAGGTATTGATTTCGAAAGAAAGAAAGAAAGAAAGAAAGAAAGAAAGAAAGAAAGAAAGAAAGAAAAGGAATTGTAGAATGCAGGTCAGCTGATGATTGGAATGGGCACCAAGTAACCTGTCTAGAGCCAAAGACATTGGGAGATGAGGTCTTTGCTGTCCATGGGGTGAACCAGATTCAAGGGCAGTTAACAACAGACTGAGCTACCCAGGCAAAAGACTAAAGACTGAAATTGTATATCATGCTTGCATTGTTTAAATGATCATAATAACGCCTTCTCATGTGGCCTTGTTTGGGTTGCTGGTTCTCAGCCTTGCAAGGATGTGGTGAGACCCAAGCAAGACAACAACAACCTCAAAGGGTTATTGCAGATTTTGGAATGAGTTCAAAAACCTAGCCTGGTGACGCCCTGTCATTGCCCTGACCCACAACTCACCTCTGTGAACTGGCAAGGTGAGAGCATGGTCCTGATCCAGCGCCACCCGCTCAACGCTGTGATGAGTCTCTGGAGGGATGCACTTCAGGCCACAGCCAACAAAGCAGCACTTCTGCCCCTTGGAACATGACCGGTCATCCCTGCAATGTCCTTCACATGGGAAAAACTCCAGTGGTAGACTTCTCTTGGGGCAAAGGCCTCGATTGGCTGCAGAAGAAGGAAAAGACATCAATGGGAGCAGATAACTGTGTAGAGCCACTCCTCAAGAGGTAGAACATAATCCCCAGGAGAAGGACTAGGCAAGGTAAAAGGTGGAAAGAGTTAATGTACACTCAGTACCTGGATTGTTCCCAAGGGCCATGACCTACAACAAGGCAGTGGGAATAGGGTCACCCTGACACAAAGTCCTGTGTCATATGGTTGGTAAATTAAACTTGGAATGGTGACACACGGCTGGACATTGGCCCAGTTGATTTGGACAGCAAAAGGACTGAGAGGGAGCTCTCAACTGAAGAGGCCCTCCATGTTTCTAAGCATTTGGCTGGAGGAAAGAAGCAGTGCCTCTAAAGACACCTGCCACATATGCATGGTCTCTTTTGGAAGTCTAGCTAGCAGAGCCCTTGGCAATGTAGTGAAGGTGCTGTTCATGCTGAAGGACCATTTTCTGGCATTAGCATTGGTGAGGCCTTCTACTACAGGAGTGCAGCACACTTTGGCAATTCATCCATTAGTTTAACCCAGAAGAGAGGTAGTGAAAACTGAAGGAAGGTCTTCTATGAGGGAGAGCAGGGTGAGGTCCTCCATGAGTCTGGGAGCTTGGGTGGGGGGACACCTGCTACACATGCAAGGTCTTTTCTAGAGGTCTAACTGGTAGAGGACCTGGAAACATGGTGAAGATACTCAAGGACCCTTCTCTGGAAGAGCTTTGGTTCATTCTGAAGGATCATTCTTTGGCACAGCTTTGGTGTGGCTTTCTGTGAGTCTTGGATCATGGGTGGGGGAGAGAAAGTAATGGCCCTCGGGGACACTCCTGCTTCCTCTTTTGAAGACCTAGCCAGCAGGGTTCCTTGCAAAGAGAGGTGGAGGAAAGTGGTGGGTGCCCAAGGGTCATGTTCTGCTGAAGAGCCTTTACCTGGTATGGCTTTGGTGCACCTTTTGTGTTCTTCACTGGGACAACACTTCTCATCCACGGCACAATCTGAATCCCATGAACAGTGCTTTGAAGGGACTGCAACATCATCTCTTCTGGGGCAATAGCCAGGATGTACTGCAAGGCAAAGGGACAGAAAAGTTAGGCCAAGAATGAACGATTTCCTGAATCCTTGGGGTGGATCCGATGAAGTTATGGATTCCCACCAAGAGAGGAAACTCTCTTGGCTTGATTGCAAAGAGTCGGCACAAGTCGGGGGCAAAAACATGGCCAGCTGGAAGGGGTTCAAGCCTGTGCTTAGTTTTGCTCATGTGTCTATATCATCATCATCATCATCATCATCATCATCATCATCATCAATACTAAATAGTTAATTTCCCTTCACAATTGCTACATGGCTGACTTTCCTTTTTCTTGTTGAATCATAGAATCCAAGAGTTAGGAGAGACTCCAAGGGACATCCAGTCCAATCCTGCATAATGCAGGAAAACACCATTAACCACTCTCGACAGATTAATAAGGGTTTTTATTTTCATTACAACTAATTGGAGGGCCTGGTCAACACCTACATATGCTCTTTCCTCTGACCATTCCTGTGAACATCTAGTAGCCACAGAAATGGCTTCACGGGACATGGCAAATGACTGGGATAGGTAGAAGCCATTGTTTTGTTTTGGTTTTTTGCAAAAAAAAACCCCCACACATACACACACAAAACAAAACAAAAAACAGATATACTTAGCACAGCCTATTCAGGACCTGAACCTGGTTGGTGTGTTGTATTTTTGTCTTTAGGGATGTTTTTTTTTGCAAAAGCAAAACAAAACAACCTGAGAAGGGTTCCCTTATGTATTAAACAAGCACTGCAAATAACCCTCCATTTTGCGCAAAAATATACACAAATGTGATAAATGTCTGAGTTATCTTATCCACCATTTGTTTGGTGAGATGCCTCCAAGTATTCTGAGCTCTATGCCTTCCATTTGCTGAGATGATTCAAAAACACCAGTATGCACCAGGGAAGGGGGAACTGTCACTTGGAAGGCGGCTTAGGGGACAATTAATGTTTGCAAACTCCAAGGTGAGAAAGGCTCTCCTAGGTGAATTACACATCATCCCGAATGTTGCCACTAGCTGCATCCCAGGAAGGGGAGCCTCCCATGAGAGAGAAGGACCATGGCTCCTCCTGTTCCCGCTGACCACCCATCCATTCTTTGCATAGACAGATGGACGGACGTTGGCCTACCTCCAACAGGGAGGGCACATCTCTTGATATTTCCAATGTGACAACACTTCTGATCTCCTGGGCAAGATGCATCGTATGCACAGTAGGCCTTGGAGGACCTTGGAAGAGCAGGAACCGTCCTCCTTGGGCAGTTGCCAGGTTTGGACAATGCTGGGAATGAGAAAAAGGGTCATGGAGAAGTCCTAGGGGGACAGAGCAAAGAGGAAGCAGAAAGTGGCACAAGGAGACTCAGATTTATACTCCCATGTTGCATGCATTTGTTTGGGTTGTTGAGTCTCCCAAGGCTGCTAGGAAACCATCACCACCACCACCACAACAATCAATTGAAATTTTACAACAAGTTGAAAAATTGTGAGCACATCGGGTTGTTGTAGGTTTTTTCAGGCTATACATCCATGGTCTAGAGGCATTCTCTCCTGACGTTTCGCCTGCATCTATGGCAAGCATCCTCAGAGGTAGTGAGGATGCTTGGTAGTGAGGATGACCTCACTTCCTCTGAGGATGCTTGCCATAGATGCAGGCAAAACGTCAGGAGAGAATGCCTCTAGACCATGACCATATAGCCCGAAAAAAACCTACAACAACCCAGTGATTCCAGCCATGAAAGCCTTCGACAATACAGGTGAGCCCATCATTTCCTCTTGAGTTCATTGCTCGAAGAATGGTGATGTTCCCCACATGCTGTAGTTTATTACTATGGAGCATAATGTTCATATTGAGGTGGGAGTGCTGGTTCTTCTCTTTCAAATGAGCAGGTGAAGATGTCCACCAGCGACACAATCTTGGGCTGTATCTTAAAACGATTTCTTCCTTGCCAAACTGGTCTAAATGAGAATTAGGATCATCTCATTACCTTCTGCCCCTCACCTGCACCTGAACTGAGGTGAGAGTGCATGTTCTGGCCATGACCACGTTAACAGGTCCAGGTGAAAAGCAACATTTGGATGAATGTCTATCTCAGTGGTTCTCAACCTGGGGTCCCCAGATGTTTTTGGCCTACAACTCCCAGAAATCCTAACATCTGGTAAACTAGCTGGGATTTCTGGGAGTTGTAGGCCAAAAACATCTGGGAGGACACACAGGTTGAGAACCACTGGTCTATCTGTATTTGATTCAAATTCTTCCTCTACTTATGGTGAATCCCCATCTTTTCCTTTGTGGTCATGTTCAGTAATTTCAGCTCTGCAAAAACCACGGGTTTGGGGATCCAGTATGAATAGCTTCCCAGAAGGCCAAATCGGACACAGATGGGTAGAAGGAAAAAGCAGAGCTTTATTCTCAGTGGTCAGAGAGGATGTCAGTGGAGAAAGCACTCCAAAGTGCTGACATAACACAATTGGAAAATGCATAACATTTTTTATTTCATCTGACAGCTATTCAAGAAACCCACGTCATCTTCTGGTTGGCTGAAAAACCATCCAGATAGATGCAAAATTTGGCTGAATCTGAAGATGGATTCTTCCTTGAACAATTTTCCTGGTTAAACTAGTCCAGATGAGTCATAGGACCACCCCATTGCCTTCTGATCTCTATCTCCACCAGAACTCCACCTGAACTTGCTCCTGTCATTGCAACAATTTTGTGGACCAGTCCAAGTCAGAAGCAACATCTGGATGAATGTCTAGCTATAAATTCCTCTTCCATTATCCAACAAGTCCACAATGGCCCATTAGAATTATAGAATCATAGATTTGGAACAGACCTTGTGGGCCACCCAGTCCAACCTCATTCTGCCAAGTAGCAGGACAATCGCATTCATCATCTTCTGGCTCTCACCTCTGTCAAAGCAGGCATGGTAACATTCCTCCCGCGTCATGAAGTTGTTCTCATTCCCCCCACAGCCCCCAAAAATGAATTTCTCACACTTCCCAGAGGTTGAATTATAGAAGAATCGGGGCATGTGGGCATCACAGTCTCCTTGTTTAGGAGGAAGGAGGCAGATATCTGGAAGAAAGAAGAAGAATGCTACTAGGAGGGAGATAAAGTGGAGAACAAAAGTTCAGCAATAATAGACTTTGAAGGAACCAGTGAGATGTTTCTGCTGAATCCCTTATAGTGGAGAGAAGGACCATGAAGGGTTCTACAGGCATCACAGTCCAAATGCAGAAAAGGAAATGGAAGGTCACAACAGGCAGTGGCACTTTTCAAGGCAAGAGATGACCACAATTATTTCAGTGGGAGAAAGGGAAGGACATGGCTTATTCCCAGAAGGAAGAAAGTGCATAATGCAACCTATGGGTGGAATGAACATGTATGCAAAGATGGGACAAACCTGATGGACAGATTCAGAGAGAAACATAAATACATCTATCTATATAAATAAAAATGTAATGTTCATTTGTGGGATTAACAACTCTAAAACCACTGGATGAATTGACACCAAATTTGGACAGCATATACCTAACAACCCAATGTATGTCCTTCACTCATATTTTTTTTTGATTTTGTCATTTGGGAGTTGTAGTTGCTGGGATTTATTGTTCACCTACAATCAAAAAGCATTCTGAACTCCACCTATGACTCCACCAATGATGGAATTGAACCAAATGTGGCATACAGAACTCCCATGACCAACAGAAAACACTAGAAGGGTTTGGTGGGCATTGACCTTGAGTTTGGGAGTTGTAGTTCACCTACATCCAGAGAGCACTGTGGAGTCAAACAGGATGGATCTGGACCAAACTTGGCATGAATACTCAATATGCCCAAATGTGAACACTGAGGATTGGTGAAAATAGACATTTGGGAGTTGTAGTTGCTGGGATTTATAGTTCACCTACAATCAAAGACCATTCTGGACTCCACCAACAATGGAATTGAACCAAACGTGGTATACAGGACTCCCATGACCTACAGAAAACACTAGAAGGGTTTGGTGGGAATTGACCTTGAGTTTGGGAGTTGTAGTTCACCTACATCCAGAGAGCATTGTGGACTCAAACAATGGATCTGGACCAAACTTGGCACGAATACTCAATATGTGAACTCAGATGGACTTTGGGGGAAATAGACCTTGACATTTGGGAGTTGTAGTTGCTGGGATTTATAGTTCACCTACAATCAAAGAGCATTCTGAGCTCCACCCATGACTCCACCAATGATGGAATTGAACCAAATGTGGCATACAGAACTCCCATGACCAAACAGAAAACACTAGAAGGGTTTGGTGGGCATTGACCTTGAGTTTTGGAGTTGTAGTTCACCTACATCCAGAGAGCACTGTGGACTCAAACAAGGATGGATCTGGACCAAACTTGGCAAGAATACTCCATATGCCCAAATGTGAACAATGGTGGACTTTGGGGGAAATAGACCTTGACATTTGGGAGTTGTAGTTGCTGGGATTTATAGTTCACCTACAATCAAAGAGCATTCTGAACCCCACAAATGACAGAATTGGGACAAGCTTCCCACACAGAACCCCCATGACCCAACAGAAAATACTTAAGACCATCCAGTACAACTCCCTTCACCAGGACAAGAAAACGTAATCAAAGCCCTCCTGACAAAGAGCCATCCAGCCATAGATATAGATAGATAGATATGATTCACACACAGAGATATAGTATCATAGATTTGAAAGGGACCCCTAAAGAAGGACAGTGATATGTTGCATGTTCCAGAGTAGGCAAACCAGACAATCTCCACATCAGCAGTGACAAAGAAACAGCAAGAAATACTGTTTACCCACAAGCATAAAGAAATTGCATATATTAGAAACCAACACTTTCTCATTACTTTATTTTCCAGATCACCAGACTGGGCCACAGCAACGTGTGGCAGGGGACGGCTAGTAAACAAATAAATCAGAATTTTTCCTGCTGTGCAGATAAGCAATGATATGACATTATATCCATATTCCTTTTAAGTTTTTAAAATGAACATATTGAAGGGAAGAGCCTGAATTTGTGCAAGACAAAGCAAGGGAGTGGGAATTGCAAGAAGCCCCCCAACCCTTTGGCCTGGCACCAATGTCCTAGAGAGTAGGGTCGAGCAAAAACTACTCTTTCCGACCCACAACTCACCTCCGTGTCCCACTTCCAGTGAGGGATCCCGATCCAGTTCCATTGGTTCTCCACTGTGATGGCTCTCTGGGGGGACACACTTCAGCCCACAGTTAACAAAGCAGCACTTTTTCCCCTTGGGACAAGACTGGTCATCTATGCATTCACCTTCACAAGGACTGGACACCCGCGAGAGGCTCTTCTTGGGACAAAGGCCAGGGTTGGCTGCAGAAGTGGGAGGAATTAGCAAGAGACACAAGCAGAAGCTCCTTCCCATAAAGAGTTGACCCAGAATCCTCTTAAGGAAAGGTAGGCAGGCAAAATGGGGGCATCAGTCAATACTAGGCACTGGAAGCCTCGTGTCCCCTTCTCCCTTAGGCCCCAATGTCATCCCTTGAGATCAGAATGCAGGAACAGGGTCACCCTGACACACATTGAAGGTGCATTGAAGGTGCATCAGACTTTCGCCATTGACCCAAATGGATTAACCCAACAAAGAGGCAGTGAAGGATTGAGGGAATGCTCTCTATGACTGACAAGCAGGGTGAGGTTCCCCACGACTCTATGGGCTTCGGTGAAGGAAGACAGTAGTGGCCCTTTGGACATTGACACACATGTAGAGTAGAGTCTTTTAAAGGAGGTCTGTTTGGCAGAGTCCCTGGCAATGTGGTGAAGTCACTGTTCATCCAGCAGGACCATTATCTGGGATACGTCAGCGTGCTGGAAGAAGCAAAGACCACCAGCATCGAAGCAATGGTCCTCCGCCATCAACTCTGCTGGACCAGCCACGTTGTCCGGATGCCCGACCACTGTCTCCCAAAGCAGTTGCTCTACTCCGAACTCAAGAATGGAAAATGGAACGTTGGTGGGCAGGAAGAGAGATTTAAAGATGGGCTCAAAGCCAGCCTTAAAAACTCTGACATAGACACTGAGAACTGGGAAGCCCTGGCCCTTGAGCACTCCAGCTGGAGGTCAGCTGTGACCAGCAGTGCTGCAGAATTTGAAGAGGCACGAATGGAGGGTGAAAGAGGGAAACATGCCAAGAAGAAGGCGAGTCAAGCCAACCCCGACCAGGACCGCCTTCCACCTGGAAACCAATGCCCTCACTGCGGAAGAAGTTGCAGAGCAAGAATAGGGCTCCACAGCCATCTACGAACCCACTCCCAGGATACCGAACTTGGAGGACCATCATCCTCGGACTACGAGGGATCGCCTAAGTAAGAAAGTATCTGGCATAGCTTTGATGGTGTCCTCCTTGGGTCTGGAAGCTTGGGCTGGGGGAGAAAGCAGTGGCCCTTGGGTGCACCCATGCTGCTTTGAGGCTGCACCAGATTTTGGCCATTGATCCAATGGATTAAGTCAACAAAGAGGCATTGAAGGAGTGAGGAATGTCCTCTATGAGGGAGAAGTAGGGTGAAGTTCTCCAACAACCTATGGATTTCAAGGAGCAGCCTTGCTACCTCTTTTGAAGTTCTAGATAGCAGGGCAATGTGGGGTGCTGGCTGCCTCTGGGTCCACCTCTCCAGAAGGATCTTTACCTGGCAAGGCTTTGGTGCATCTTCTCCGTCCTTCACTGGGGCAACACTTCTCATCCAAGGCACAATCCAAGTCCCATGAACAGTGCGTTGTGAAGACTGTGGCATTGTCTCTCCTGGGGCAAAAGCCAGGATTCACTGTAAAGGAAAAGTACAGAGGAGGGCCAAGAATGGACACGGCTTTCCGGACCCCTGAAGTAGGCCAGGTGAGGATAGGGACCCCATCAAGGGAGGAAAATGTCTCAGATTGACAGCAAAGGGGACGGCCCTTTGCTGTCAATCTTGTTTTTATAATGTCTGGGGGAGGGGATGGAAAATCACTTTTTTGGTCCAAAACCATACCTTGGGCAAAATGCTATCCAAACTCAACTCTCTTGTTGATTCAGTTTTAGCAAATGTGTTCCCAAGTGGCACTTGGGAGGTGATGTCTCAGTTTTACTGAAGACATATCCAACCTATTGTCGAAGGCTTTCATGACCGGAATCACTGGGTTGTTGTAGGTTTTAATCACCTCTCAACAAAGGATTCCCCCAGGCAGTAGCGAGTCACACCAAAAAACGGTCAGGCCATCAAATGCTAATCAAGGTGGCCAATTGTAACACTCACACCGACTTCCAACAGACAAGAGTTCTTTCTTCCATCCTGGACATCATTCCTGTCAGGTTTTACAATGTATTGTAATGTAATATAGCTGAGTCATGCACTGCTAATAGGCTTCTATTGGAAATGCTGAGTCATGCATTAACTGTATATAGGGAATCATTTGGGGAATGTGTTCTGGCCTAGTCCAGGTGATTGTGAATGATGTAATCCTGGGTCTGAGTTAAGTTAATGAGTTGGGAACCAATCAGTGATTGCTATGTGTAAATGAATTGTATATAAGGAAGTCATGTACAGTGTATATCTCTCCTTGTGCTGTGATGTTGTTCGTCAAAGGCTATATGTAATTAAAAGAACCTGTCTGCTAAGACAAGATATAACTGTATGCTGTGGTAAGTTTGTAATGTCATCTAGACTGGGGGAAAGACAATGGTAAAACTGACAATGGCCAGGCATGTGCTCAAGTGTCTGTAAAAGGTTCCAGCGTGGCTGCAGGCTGTGGGAGCAGTTGACTGAAAATACTGTGCAGGAAGAAGCTACTGGAAAGTGCTGAAGTGCAACTGATCTGCTGCTGAATTGTGAAGTTAATCTCAACAATTCCACAGATATATAAACAGACCTCACTACCTCTGAGGATGCTTGCCATAGATGCAGGCGAAACGTCAGGAGAGAATGCCTCTAGAACATGGCCATATAGCCTGAAAAAACCTACAACCCACATGTCCAACCATTAAGCCATGCTTCCCAATTTCTGAGGAAATTTCAGGAAGGAAGGAAGAACCGTTATATGAAAGGCCACCTGGAGTAGATGTACTTCTGGCAACATCTAGGGTTGGATGCCAGGAAATTGTTCCCTAGATAAACCCAACAATCCTAGAACATCTCAGCAATTGAAGCCTCACATGAAAGAGAAGACTCCTCCTGCTCCCCTGCTTTGAGGATGGCTGAACAGATGCTGGCCTACCTCCAACAGGGAGGACACATTTCCTGATATTGCCCATGAGACAACACTTCTGCTCTCCTGGACAGGTCCCATCCTCTATGCAGTAGGCTTCGGTAGGCCGAGAAAGCCCAGGTAGCATTCTTCTTGGGCAATCTCCAGGTTGAAGGAGATCTGTAAGGAAGAGAAAGAGAGTCATGCTCACGTAGATGTCCAAGATGGACAGGGCAAAGAAGGACGCAGAAGGTGGCACAGGGAGACCTAGCATCAAGTCCCCATATTGCATGCCTTTGTTGGAGTTGTTGGGTCTCAGCCTCCCAAAGTCAGAATGAAACTCAAGGAAGAAAACAACAACAAGGGTCCTATAGTTTCCTCCAGTTGTGTGGCTAGAAGGTGTGGTGATGTTCCTCATACTCTGCAATTTGGGGAGCAAGATCCATGGCCATGGAAGGAGCACCAAGTGCATTTCCTTCTCCTTGTCCAGCTAGTCCAAATGAGCTTCAGGGCCACCCCATTGCCTTCTGCTCCTCACCTCTGTGTGGGCAGAACTGGAGACATTCCTCCCGTGTCTTAAAGTTGTTGTCATTTCCTCCACATCCACCATAAATGAATTTCTCACATTTCCATGAGGTTGAATTGAAGAAGAATCGGGGTATGTTTGCTTTGCAGTCTCCTTCTTCGGGTGGAAAGAGGCAGAGATCTAGAAGAAGGAAGGAAAAAGCTACTGAGCAGAAGGTGGGACAGGGAGGCCCAGCCTCAAAGAGCCCTCTTGACTGGCCTTGCTTGGGTTGCTCCTTCTCCACCTCACAAACCCATGGACAAGACCTTTTGTAAGAGGTGGGAAACCTTTTCTGGGACCAACCAGAACATCATTCCATGTTGAGAAGGAGGGAGGAATTTGAGGTCTATTCAATGGCTTGCGATTCAGTAGCTATCTGTCGAAGGTGCTTTGATTGTGCTTTTCCTGCAGGGCAGGGGGTTGGACTAGATGGCCCATGTGGTCTCTCCCAACTCTTTTGTGTTTGCAGTGGATAATCCTAAACGGGTTGGAATGTTTTGACCAAAGGATATGGTCTTGGTGATCCTGGTAGATTATTACTGTGATCTCCACATGATTTCTCTGGAAGGAGAAAGGCTTGGGAGAAGGTCATTCCTACTTTATTTCTGTCCTTCCCCATTTTTTTCTTCCCCCTTTAATGGAGGTTTGCCATTATCTTCCTCTATGGCTAAGAGAGTGTGAATACCCAAGGTCACCTAGTGAACCCTAAAAGAGGCAAGGGTTCGTCCCTTGTTAAAGAAACCTAGCTTGGATCCTATGACCCTTGCCAATTACCGTCCTGTTTCTAATCTGCCATTCTTAGGCAAGGTGATAGAGCGGGCTGTACTGGGACAATTGCAACAATTCCTGGATGACACAGCTGGCCTGGACCCTTTCCAGTCAGGTTTTCGCCCGGGCCATGGGACGGAGACAGTCCTGCTTGCCATTATGGATTAACTCAGTCGCCAGTCTGACAACGGTGGATAAGTGCTATTGGTACTTCTCGACCTTACCGCAGCGTTTGATACCGTCGACTACGATCTAATGATTCACCGTCTTGCCATGTCCGGAGTTCGTGGTCAGGCCCTCAATTGGTTCAACTCATTTCTCCGGAACCGGATCCAACGCGTGGAGTACATGGATCAAGTCTCCGATAGATCCCCCCTCCTATGTGGGGTCCCCCAAGGTGCAATTATCTCTCCTCTTCTCTTCAACATCTACGTTAGACCCCTTGCTAGTTTGGTTTGGAGTTTCGGCCTGGACTGCTACCAATATGCGGATGACACCCAACTCCTTCTGTGCTTGGAGCCTGGAGCAACGTCAATTCCAGACAATTTCACCCTATTCTAAAATTGCAACAGCAAAAACAGCAGAGAGAAAAACAGGCAGGGACATCTAATCACCTTTCAAGAAGAGTTTGCTCCAGGCACAGTCAGCCCATTGTATGCTAATCAAGGTGGTCAGTTGAAAGATTCACACCTAGCCCAACTTACAAAAGCCTTTGTCTCACCCTGGTCATTCCACAGATATATAAACCCTTTTTCCTAGTTCCAACAGACCTCACTACCTCTGAGGATGCTTGCCATAGATGCAGGTGAAACGTCAGGAGAAATGCCTCTAGAACATGGCCATATAGCCCCAAAAAACCCACAAGAACTGAATTTCACCCTATGTCTGGAAGCTCTGTCGAACTGGCTACGTGCTAGCAGACTGAAGGTGAACCTGGCGAAGATTGAGATTCTCTGGCATGGCTGCCCGGCAGGTCTGACTCATCCGCTAGCCACCTTCGGTGGTGCCGCCCTCTCTCCATCGACCACTGTCAAGAGCTTAGGTGTCGTCCTGGATTCGCAGCTGACAATGGAAGCTCAGGTGGCTGCTGCCAGCAAACAGGCCTTTTTCCATCTACGACAAGCGAGGCAACTGGCACCCTCCCTATCTGATGAGGCTCTGGCAACAGTCATCCATGCCACGGTCACGTCTAGGCTGGACTATTGCAACGCCCTGTATGTTGGCCTTCCGATGTCTACGACCCGAAAGCTCCGTATTGTTCAGAATGTGGCAGCTAGGCTACTCACAAGAACGCCCATGAAAAGCCATATAACACCAGTGCTGCAACATTTACATTGGCTTCCAACTGAGTAACGTGGTCTGTAAAAGATGTTAGTTCTGACCTTTAAAACTCTTTACGGCCAGGGTCCATCGTACCTTAGGGACCGCCTCTCCTTCTCCCATCTCCCAGCCCAACTTACTCCATATACCGGGTCCTAGAGAAGTGTACTTGGAAAGGACCAGGCGCAGGTGGGCTTTCTCTATTTCTGCCCCTCCTGCCTTAAGGAATTCCTTGCTGCCCTACTTGAGAGCCATGCGTGACTTCGGGCCTTTTACTCTTGCACTTAAGACCTGGCTTTTTACTACAGCATTCGATCTCTGTTAATTTTTAATTTCTGTATGGATGTACAGAATCTTTTACAATTTATCTTTTACAATTTAGGTGTAAATCGCCTAGAGCATTCTCGGATGGAGGGCAATTTATTTATTTATTTATTTACTGCACTTGTAGACCGCCGTTCTCAGCCCTAGGGCGACTCACGGCGGTGTACAACATATAAAAAACAATTTACAATAAAAGCAATATCACAAACCACAATAACAACATCACTACCAATAATACAATTACACTAAATCATTCGCGACGTCTCATCATAGAATCACAATCCAATCTCGTTATCCATATTCCGTTCCAATCATCGTTGCCAATTGTTGTAGCACTTAATCAAACGCCTTCTCAAACAACCACGTCTTTAGTCTCTTGCGGAATGTCATAAGGGAGGGTGCCTGTCTGATGTCTACAGGGAGGGTGTTCCACAGCCGGGGGGCCACCACCGAGAAGGCCCTATCCCTCGTCCCCGCCAGGCGTGCCTGTGAGGCAGGCGGGATCGAGAGAAGGGCCTCCCCAGACGATCTCAAAGTCCTCGTGGGCTCGTAGGCCGAGATGCGGTTAGACAGGTATTTTGGGCCGGAACCGTTTAGGGCTTTGTAGGCCAACACCAGCACCTTGAATTGGGCCCGGTAGCAGATCGGCAGCCAGTGGAGCTGGAACAACAAGGGCGTTGTGTGCTCCCTGCGTCCCGCTCCTGTTAGTAACATGGCTGCCGCGCGCTGGACTAGCTGAAGCTTCCGGGCCGTTTTCAAGGGCAGCCCCACGTAGAGAGCGTTGCAGTAGTCAAGGCGGGATGTGACCAGAGCGTGTACTACCGTGGCCAAGTCAGACTTCCCGAGGTACGGGCGCAGCTGGCGCACAAGTCTGAGCTGTGCAAATGCTCCCCTGGTCACCGCTGAAACCTGGGGATCCAGGCTCAACGATGAATCCAGGATCACACCCAATAAGTAATTAAATATGATGGTGATGATGATGGTGATGATGATGATGAATTTCCATTGCTGGTTGGGTGTTTGTACTCTGGTCTTATTAAAAATGGGCAGGTAAAGAAAATGTCCCCCTGGAAAGCCAAATGAGCGTACAAGGGAAACTGTAGGAAGTCAACCAGGTATTCAAAAGGGAAGGGATGCATGCCTAAACAGATCTGAACAGTTCCATTACTTTCGCCATAGTATAGTTTCACAAAGGATGCAAAACCTGGGATGTTCCTCTGACCACTTATTTATTGATAATGTTTTCATTTTTTAACAAGATTATCTTCTTTGTATTCTGAGAACTTTATCTCTAAAACATCTTTTGGGCTTTGGGCATAGTTTCTCACCTTGGAAGGTTGCCATGGAAAGTGTTGGTGGCTTGTCATGTGCTTCCATTTCTAAAAAGAGAGAAAAAGCAGAGTTAGGTCCCAGGTTTCACCATCCAACCAGACTGGACCTTCCATCAGGCTGAGCATGAACACTGTGAAAGGTCCTGGTGGACCCTTCAGGTCCCTTTTTCTTTGAGAGGGACACACATCATAGCAAGGGCACTCCAAACAGGACTTGTGGTGATGGGAGTGAGATGTAACTGGCAAGGGGACCTTTCAACGTCTTCTGTTTATGGAAGGGGAAAGGGGGCTGCCACCTTCTTCCTTGCTTCCTGCAGCAAATGGTCACTCATGTCTCCAGCAATGGATTCCCTCTTCTAGTGCAGCCTTTTGACTCATAGAATCAAAGAGTTGGAAGAGACCTCATGGGCCATCCACTCCAACCCCATTCTGCCAAGAAGCAGGAATATTGCATTCAAAGCACCCCTGACAGATGGCCATCCAACCTCTGTTTAAAAGCTTCCAAAGAAGGAGCCTCCACCACACTCCGGGGAAGGCAGAGAGTTCCACTGCTGAACGGCTCTCACAGTCAGGAAGTTCTTCCACTCTTTGGAACTATATTTCACTGGCCAAACTCTCAGCAGCAGAAAGTGCTCTCAAGAGTTGCTTGTCCTCCCCATTTTGGGAAGGACCTTATGTTCAGTCTCCCATGAGGAGAAATCTATATAAATCAAGATGTAATATTCATTTGTGGGAGTATCATAACTCAAAAACCACTGGAAGAATTGACACGAAATTTGGACTCTATACCCCTAACAGACCAATGAGTGACCATCACTCATACCCCCCCTCCCAAAAAAAAAACAGTGGAAAGGACTTAAAACCCCCCAAAAGCTAAATAACAAAAGTTAAATGCCATACAGAAAAAAGGGAAGGAAGAGGGAGGGAAGGAAAGGAGAAAAGAAAGAAAGAAAGAAAGAAAGAAAGGGAAATGGAAGGGAAAAGAGAAGAAGAAAGAGAAAAAGAGGAAGGAAAGAAAGGAAAAAGAAAAGGGGAAGGAAGAGAAAGGAAGGAAGGAAAGAATGAGAGAAGGAAGGGAAAAGGAAGAGAAGGAAGGAAGGAGAGAAGAAAGGGAAGAGGAAGAAAAAGGAGGAAGGAGAGGAAGAGGGGAAGAGGAAGAGAAGGAAGGAAGGAAGGAGAGAAGGAAGGAAAGAGGAAGAGAAGGAAAGAAGGAAAGAAGGAGGGGAAGAGGAAGAGAATGAGAAAGGGAGGAAAGAGGGAGCAAAGGAAGGAGGGAAGGAAGGAGAGAAAGAGAGAGGGAAGGAAAGAAGGGAAGAGAGAAGGAAGGATGGAAGCAAAGAGTGATGGAAGGAAAGAGGTAGAGAAGGAAGGAAGGAGAGAAGGAAAGAAAAAAGAAAGGAAGGAAAGAGGGAGCAAAGGAAGGAGGGAAGGAAGAAGAGGGAGGGAAGGAAAGAAGGAAGGAAAGAAAAGAGATGGAAGAAAGGACATAAAGAAGGAAGGAAGGAAGGAAGGAAGGAAGGAAGGAAGGAAGGAAGGAAGGAGGAAAGAGGGAAGGAAGGAAGGAAGAGAGAAGGAAAGAGAGGTAGAGAAGGAAGGAAGGAGAGAAGGAAAGAAAAAAGGAAAGGAAGGAAAGAGGGAGCAAAGAAAGGAGGGAAAGATGGAGAGAAAATGGGAGGAAAGGAGAGAAGGAAAGAGAGAAGGCAGGATGGAAGCAAAAAGCGAAGGAAGGAAAGAAAGCAGTAGAGAAGGAAGAAAGGAGAGAAAGGGAAGGAAAAGATAAAAGGGGAAGGAAAGAGGTAGAGAAGGAAGGAGAGAAGGAAGGAAGAAAAGGGAAGGAAGGAAAGAGGGAGCAAAGGAAGGAAGGAAAGAAGAAGAGAAAGAGGGAGGGAAGGTTGGTCACAGCAACATGTGGTGTGGTGGGTACAGATAGTAATGCCATAAAAATTGGACGTTGGAAAAGACTCTTGGAAATGGGTCCTTTCCATGGTCCTCTTAATGTCAGAAGAGATCTCCTAGGTGAAGTCCAAGACATCTTTCACCCAGCAGATGACTTCTCAGAATGGCAGGCAGACGCCCCTTTGGGGAGAAAGATACATGGCCATGGAAGGAGCATGCCAACTACCATGAGTTTAATATAGGCTGTGCACCTATATGAAACGTATAGGTAGGCAGTCATCTTGTACTCAACTGCATATACTCAATTGAAATGTATTTATTTTGGATTGGGCAGACAGTATAGGGGTATTTGGGGATTGCAAGCAAGGGACAAAAGAGGGAAAGGTGGTCATCCAGACTGGAAGATGCTTCCAAGGGAAGGAGAGGGAGAGTGGATGCTGAACCACTGACCGCAGAGGGAAGCTGATGAGGAAACACAACATACAAACTATCTCCAGACCCACCAAGAAAATCCAGCAAATGCTCCATTCAGCAAAGTACAAGAGGGATCTTCTCATTTCTGCAGGAGTCTAACGTATACCATGCAGCTGTGGACAAGAAGTCTCCAGAGGGACCACCAAATGCAGCACCATTGCCCAGACACGAATCAAGGAACATGGAAGGCACTGCAGGCTACTTCAACCAGAGAAGTCAGCCACAGCAGAGCACCTGAGGAACCAGCCTGGACACAGCAGATTATTTGAGAACACAGAAATGCTGGACCACACCAACAACCACCATGTCAGGCTACACAGAGAAGCCATTGAAATCCACAAGAAGCATGTGGACAATTTCAACAGAAAGGAGGAAACCATGAAAATGAACAAAATCTGGCTACCAGTATTAAAAAAAACTCTAAAATTACAACAAAGAGGAAACGAACAAGGACATCTAATCATCACCTCTCAACAAAAGTTTGCTCCAGGCACTGTCAGGCCATTATATGCTAATCAAGGTGGTCAGCTGAAACATTCACACCTAGCTCCAGCAGACAAGAGTCCTTTGTCCCACCCTGGTTTTTCCACAGGTATATAAACCCTTTTTCCTAGTTCCAACAGACCTCACTACCTCTGAGGATACTTGCCATAGATGCAGGAGAAACGTCAGGAGAGAATGCCTCTAGAACATGGCCATATAGCCCGAAAAAACCTACAACAACCCAGAGTGGATGCTACCTGTTTGCACACTCTTACTTCTCTTCTTCTTCCAGCCAAGCCCAGATGAGTCCCATTTTGAGAAAAGCAGGCATCCTATCCAAACCAACCAACCAACCAATCAATCAGTCAATCCATAAGACTAATCAATGGCCAGCAAGGAGCCTTCACAGCATTATCACCTTCTGGGGTAGAACCATTTGAATGGTCCCATTGCCACCCCTGGGCCAAATCTTCCCAGAGCGAAAATGGATCATCCAGCTGCCAGATCGATAAACAGCATTTTGCCCTCCTGAATTTGGGCAGCTCCCCAAAAAACAGAACAGGGGCAACCAAAAACTGGATACTGAAAGCAGCATGGGGTTTACCTGAATTGCACACCCCTAATATCTACATAGAAAGGTGGCAGAAAGAAAGAAGCGGGAACTATCACGGAAAAGGCACTGAGCGCATCAACACTATAGAATAAACATAGTTTGATCCCACCGAAACATCTCACCCAACTACAATTCCCAGGATCCCATAGCATTGAGTTGAGGCAGTTGATTCTACATTGTAGATGCATGCGAGGACAGTCCAAGCTCAAACTGTGCAGGGAATTAAAAGGTCAAATATCAGGAAAAACCAGGACACAGAATGTGGGAGGCATGGCAATCTCTCTCCACGCCAGGCGTGGGGGTTTCTGTACTCACTGCCTAGCCTTTTCCTCAGTGTGGCCAAAATGGGCTCTGTCCCGAGGGCGAAGAAGCCCAGGAGCAGCAGGGCAGCGTGGTGGCTCTTCATGGCTGACGGTGTCCTTGGCCAGGGAGGGGGAACCTGGAATATAAACACTCCTGGATGCCAAGGCCAGGCCTGATGGGTCTTCCCGGGGTGCCATGTCCTGCCCCCTTGACAGCTGGTGCTGAATCCTGCTATGTTGTGTCAACACTATTATCTACTGGGTTTATCTGAGACCTCAATGAATTAGCTGGGGCAGGTCATTGTCTCTTTTGGGAGAAGGCACACAATGTTCTTGTCACTGGGTTCTCTTACCATGACCACTGGTAAGAGAATTATTTTGGGCAGCCAAGGCCCATCTTGGCAGTCCACTAGCATGACAGACTAGCATTGTGTGCACAAAGGGGTTGGACTGGATGGCCTCTGTGGTCACTTTCAGTTCTGTAGGCTTGATCCACTTTGGTACCACATTAACTGTGAGCCATGATGCAGTTTTACCCCCATTTTCACTGCAGTAGCCCAATGTTATGATTTTTAAAAAGTTTTCATCCTTTTCTGCCAATGAGTGTCCATCACTCATAAAAACACTGAAAAGCACAGCAGAAGAGACTTAGAAAGCAAAACAAACAAACAAAAAATACATTAGAATGCATGTGCAAACTCACATATACACAGACACACATATACGCAAACACACATACACACACACACATATACACACACCTAACGATCCACCGTCTCGCCATGTCCGGAGTTTGCGGTCAGGCCCTCAATGGGTTCAATTCATTCCACCGAAATCGGAGTCAGTGCGTGGAATATATGGACCAAGTCTCCGAAAGTTCCCCCCTCCTATGCGGGGTACCCCAAGGTGCAATTCTCTCCCCTCTTCTTTTCAACATCTACGTTAGACCCCTTGCCAGTTTGGCTCGGAGATTCGGCCTGGACTGCTATCAATATGCGGACGACACCCAACTCCTGTTGCGCTTGGAGCCTGGAGTAACGTCAATACCTGACACTTTCACCTTGTGCCTGGAGGCTTTGTCGAACTGGCTATGTGCTAGCAGACTGAAGGTGAATCCAGCGAAGACTGAGATCCTGTGGCATGGCCGCCCGATAGGTCCGACCCATCCGTTACCTACCTTTGATGGCGCTGCTCTATCTCCATCGCCTACCGTTAAGAGCTTGGGTGTCGTTTTGGATTCGCAGCTGACGATGGAGGCTCAGGTCACTGCTGCCAGCAAACAGGCCTTTTTCCATCTACGACAAGCGAGGCAACTGGCACCTTACCTGTCGAATGAGGCTCTGGCAACAGTCATCCATGCCACGGTCACATCTAGGCTAGACTATTGTAACGCTCTGTATGTTGGCCTTCCTATTTCTACGACCTGAAAGCTCCGTATTGTCCAGAATGCTGCAGCCAGGTTACTCACAAAAATGCCCATGAGGTGCCATAGAACACCAGTGCTGCGGCATCTACACTGGCTCCCAATTGAGCATCGTGGTTTGTATAAGATGCTGGTCCTGACCTTTAAAACTTTATATGGTCAGGGATGTCCATTGTATCTTAGAGACCGTCTCTCCTTCTACCATCATCGGAGGTCGCCATGAGCATCCCAGCACCATTTGCTCTATGTGCCGGGTCCTAGGGAAGTGCGCTTGGAAAGCACCAGGCGCAGGTGGGCCTTCTCTCTTTCTGCCCCTGCCTTATGGCATTCCTTGCCTCCCTATTTGAGGAGAGCCATGCATGACTTAGGGCATTTTATCTTAGCACTTAAGACCTGGCTTTTTACTAGAGCATTTGACCCATGTTTATTTTAATATTTGTTTGTATGTGTTTTTTCCTGTATGATTTCTGCACTGTAAATCGCTTGGAGCATCTCGGATGGAGGGCGATTAATAAGTAATTAAAGATGATGATGATGATGATGATGATGATGATGATGATGATGATATATGCATATATACACACACAAAACACATATACACAGACTGGGCCACAGCAATGCGTGGCAGGGGACGGCTAGTAAAAATGTAAAAATGAGAAATACTACTTCTACACTTTATTTATATTCTGCCCTTCTCCTTTAGGGGATTCAGTCCAGATTCCAGCATTTACATACATAGGCAAACATTCAATGCCTATACTATCACATGAGACACACAAACACAAACAAAGGCAAGGCTTCTCCTTTCATTTCCGGCTTCTAGAGGCGGTTCTCATCTCTGGCTCTGGGTGGAGCTTTTCTCAGTTTTCAAGCCAAGGAGCCTGCGTTCTCACCTCCTGGTCATGTGGCCGGCAAGAGTGCTTGGAGTGTCTCTTTGCCTCCCCTCTCCCCCCACCCCCAAAGCAGTACCTATTCATCTATTCTCATTTGCATCTTTTTGAACTGCCTGGTTGACAGGAACTAGGGCTGACAGACAGGAGCTCATCCCAACTCTAGGATTTGAACTGCCAACCTTCAGGTCAACAGTTCAGCAGCACAAGGGTTTAACCCATTGTGCCAACGTGGCCCCATTCATATAATAAATACACTTCTGAAGGGGGGTCCATTGTGGGGGGTTGCAGAGACCTCACAGAAAGGGAAGAGAAATCATAGAATCATAGAATCAAAGAGTTGGAAGAGACCTCCTGGGCCATCCAGTCCAACCCCATTCTGCCAAGAAGCAGGAAAATCTCATTCAAAGCACCCCTGACAGATGGCCATCCAGCCTCTGTTTAAAAGCCTTCCAAAGAAGGAGCCTCCACCACACTCCGGGGCAGAGAGTTCCACTGCTGAACGGCTCTCACAGTCAGGAAGTTCTTCCTCATGTTCAGATGGAATCTCCTCTCTTGTAGTTTGAAGCCATTGTTGCATTGCGTCCTAGTCTCCAAGGAAGCAGAAAACAAGCTTGCTCCCTCCTCCTCCCTGTGGCTTCCTCTCACATATTTATACATGTCTATCATGTCTCCTCTCAGCCTTCTCTTCTTCAGGCTAAACATGTCCAGCTCCTTAAGCCGCTCCTCATAGGGCTTGTTCTCCAGACCCTTGATCATTTTAGTCGCCCTCCTCTGGACACATTCCAGCTTGTCAATATCTCTCTTGAATTGTGGTGCCCAGAATTGGACACAATATTCCAGGTGTGGTCTAACCAAGGCAGAATAGAGGGGTAGCATTACTTCCCTGGATCTAGACACTATGCTCCTATTGATGCAGGCCAAAATCCCATTGGCTTTTTTTGCTGCCACATCACATTGTTGGCTCATGTGTAACTTGTCATTTCATCTTATTTTGTTTAGGTGTCCTGGGCGAACTATAAATCTCTGGGGTGGAGGTTTGTGCATTGTCCGATAACACTAGAGCTTGATTCCTCTCACTTCCGATTGTCTCATCCTTGTTCTTAAGTATGAGTCATTAGTAAGTTGGATGTTTGTAACTCAGGGCCTCCCTGTAAAAACTGCTCTTGTTGAGTTTTTTTAGATTTTCCTAGAATCGTGGACTAAGAGAGTTGGAAGAGTCCCCATGGGCCACCCAGCACAACCCCATCCTGCCATGCAGGAATGCACAACCAGAACATGTTCATGTAGCCAGAAAAAGAGAGCTATAGGCTGGCCTGGTGTGAAGTTGTCATCTTTGTAAAACTCACACATTTAGGCTGGAACGTGTTTTGGCTAAATGTTCCTCAGCTCTTGGCTGTGGTTTTTTGGCTCGAGCTCCTTTGCCAACATGTGCGCTGACCTTGGAACATGCGCATGCTTTTATGAGCAACGTTTCTCTGCCAGGTCTTGGTAACCTTCTGAACCCAGAAGTGACCGGCAGGATGACTTGACGATGTTCTCGCCATGCTGTCACCCTATACCCTGGTTGGCCTTGCAACTGACCAGGAGGACCTCTGTCTTGTCTGGATTAAGTTTCAATTTGTTTGCTCTCATCCAGATTGTCAAAGTGGCCAAGCACCGGTTCAGGACTTGAACAGCCTCCTTAGTAGCAGGTGGGAAGGAGAGACAGAGTTGGACATCATCTGCGTACAGATGACATTGTGATCTGAAACTCCGCATGAACTCTCCCAATGGATTCATTAATTTATTTATCGTGTCAGGAGTGAACCAAAACAGTTATATTGCATTAAAAACAGACAAACAAACAATCAAAACACAAAGTTTGCAGACTTGGTATTCTATTAAATGTCCTTTGACCAGTATCTGGTCACCTGGAGTGCCTCTGGTGTTGCTGCAAGAAGGTCCTCTATTCTGCATGTGGCTGGGCTCAGGGTGCATTGCAGCAGGTGGTCAGTGGTTTGCTCTTCTCCACACTCGCGTGTCGTGGATTCCACTTTGTGGCCCCATTTCTTAAGGTTGGCTCTGCATCTTGTGGTGCTGGAGTGCAGTCTGTTCAGTGCTTTCCAAGTGGCCCAGTCCTCTGTGTGTCCAGGGGGGAGTCTCTCATTTGGTATCAGCCATTGGTTGAGGTTCTGGGTTTGAGCCTGCCACTTTTGGACTCTTGCTTGCTGGGGTGTTCCAGCGAGTTTCTGTGTAGATCTTAGAAAACTATTTCTTGATTTAAGTCGTTGACGTGCTGGCTGATACCCAAACAGGGGATGAGCTGGAGATGTCTCAGCCTTGGTCCTTTCACTATTGGCTGCTACTTCCTGGCGGATGTCAGGTGGTGCAATACCGGCTAAGCAGTGTAACTTCTCCAGTGGTGTAGTGCGCAGACACCCTGTGATAATGCGGCATGTCTCGTTAAGAGCCACATCCACTGTTTTAGCGTGGTGAGATGTGTTCCACACTGGGCATGCGTACTCAGCAGCAGAGTAGCATAGCGCAAGGGCAGATGTCTTCACTGTGTCTGGTTTGATCCCCAGGTTGTGCCAGTCAGCTTTCGTATGATATTGTTTCTAGCACTCACTTCTTGCTTGATGTTCAGGCAGTGCTTCTTGTAGGTCAGAGAACGGTCCAGAGTGTCTCACAGGTATCTGAGTGCGCTGCAATGCTCCAGTGGGATTCCTTCCCAGGTGATCTTCAGAGCTCCGGATGCTTCTTGAGATGAAAGGCACATGCCTGTGTTTTAGATGGACCAGGGATCAGCTGGTTTTCCCTGTAATAGGCAGTTAGAGCACCTAGAGCTTCGGAGAGC